GTATCGTTTGTAAAGTTGTGAACGTTCGAGGATTTTGCTCGCCTTTTCCTCAAGATGAGCCAAAAACAGATGTGCCAGAATGGGGCTCAATGGAGTTCCGATTGCGACACCGTCAATTTGTCTGTAAGCCCAACCAAGGAAGGAGAACGATACGTTTGTTGTGCACAGTAGTAATTGTCGTACCAGAACTGATACTGGTATACCGATTTTCAGTTCGTTTTGCTCCACATGATCACACATGATACGTATGACCTCCCGACCGGGAACATTCGTAAACAGTGATTGGAAATCAAATGAAGCCATGTGCTTCCCTTTCACATTGATCTGGTCCAAAAGCTTTACCACTTCGAAACTGTCTTTTTAATAGTGTGTCTTACCATTGATTTATGAACTGGCTCAAGCAATTTCTCCAGCCATTTGGCCAATTCGTGTTGTGGTGAATTTGTCATAGATAGTAGTAGTATTGGTCCAAGTGGCACTCCGGGTTTGTTTAGTTTCGGTAAACCATACAGTTGTGCACTTCGAGTTCCTTTTGGCTTCAGATGGTGAGCTGTGCTTTCATCGATGAAGTGTCCTTCTAGTAGAAACTGTACTGCTGTCGAAATCTGTTGTTCTAGTTCTTTAAGGACTTCACAGTCATCTTCGAGTACAAACTTGCTGGGATCATGAAGAACACTTTCCATCTTCTTCTCATAATCATTCCGATCGATCAGCACTGCTCCGGACCCCTTGTTAGGGCGTAAAACTAACAAATCAGGTCACAACTGTAGCTCTTCAATGGCGGATGTGAATGTGCTCAGGCGTGAAGAGTGACTTATGTTTGGACGATGTCATCCGGTACTGTCGTTCCAAGTCAACCAGCTTTGCTTTGAACCAAGTCTCCGCATCTTTTGAAGTTCGTTTGACTAATTGTAGTTGTTCGAATAGATATTCGAATTGCGCCTGTGTCTTTATGCTGGTCATTTTACTCGGTGGTATGCAGAAACGTAGACCACACGAAAGAGCCTGTAGTTGAAGTTCATTCGTTTAACCGGAGACAAATTCTTCACAAACCTTTCTGGTTGTTTCGGAAAATTTGGTTCGACTAACTTGTGGACGATGGAATTCTGAAGCTTGTTGAATGTACAAAGTTTGGCTTCTCGTATGTTTTCCATGCACAAGTTGGTAAATTTGATTCGGCTAACGAGGCTCAGTTCGTCAAGAATTATTGATCATTCGATGCACGTGGTCTGAAGTGTCGTTAGATTTTCTTTATAATCATCAATCTGACATCGCATCAAACGTCTCAAATTCCTGGTAGAGGCACAGATTTTATTCCTCCGTAAGCGTTTGCAAAACGTAATCGGATATCTGTTGCAACGGGCACGTTGTTCCAGAAAATGAATACGGACTCGAGTTGTGGCAATTTCACATCTCAATCTGACTAGGTCATCGAGAGACCTAATGGTTGATTTCGGGAGACGAGATCTGAGGAAATTTAAACATGCTTTTCCCGAAATAGTCTTGAAAAGAAAAGCCACAGTTGCAACATTGCACGATTCGTGTCCGGGACGATTTCGCTGCATCTGAACATGGTGCACACTGCACAACCATACTGTTTATATAAAATCATGTAAAACCATAATTTTCGACAAATATAGGGGAAATTTCAATAGTCAAGTTACGTCACCATGATAAAGACACATGAACAAAGAGCTGTTTGTGCTGACACAATATTAGGTTTCCATGAATGTATGGCAATGGTTTGAACAAACCACAAAAGCCCGGTATTCTTTGCCACGTAAATGACCCGAAACGCAGTGGTTCGGTCAGCTGGATGTTGCGTCATCAGAAGATGACGAGCGACGGCCGACGGCCGACGGCCGACAGCCGACGACGGGATCTTATGGTTTCGAACGTTGTCATTATGCCTTTGATCTGACCCTGATTGCATCACAAAACGTTGTACCCAATTTGGAATATATTCAATCACTCGGTTACGTAACTGGCGCTCTGTTCGACCCACGTACGTTGCTCCGCAACTACACTGAAATTGGTAAATCAGATTCGATTTGGTGTACAGAGATGGACGTTGTTTCACCGAGGGTGTGGGGATCTCAATCGTTCGATGAATAATTCTGAGGTCAGGTGCATAATATTTGTTTTGGGCAAGCGCTGATCCAAGTGGTCGTTTGAGCAAGCAATTGATGTCATCACGTATGAATGGAAGACAAAGGGTGACTAGTAGTTTTTCTGCTGAACAATTCGTTTGTCTGATCAATTTAGGCTTGCTGTGCTTTTCGATAAACGCATCGGGATAAGCGTTTCTAGTCAAAGATTCTTTCAGCTGTCGTACTTCGTTGTCAATCATGTCTTATGTGCAGATATGTCGTGCTGTTTGAAATAGTGTTCGAACCAGACCACGTTCATATTCCACAGACACAAAGCTGTCAAATTGCAAGCATTGGCCTGTCCAAGTTTCTTTTCGGTAAACAGATCTGGCCATTGTTCCATCATTATTCCTAGTCATTTTAATGTCGAGGAAGTGCAGTGTATCTTCGATTTCTGTTTCCATCGTAAATCGTATATTCGGATGCAGGCGATCGAGTTTATCCATAATCCATGTTGTCTCTTCTAGACTTATTGTGATGACTAGAACATGATCAACGTATCGTTTGTAAAGTTGTGAACGTTCGAGGATTTTGCTCGCCTTTTCCTCAAGATGAGCCAAAAACATATGTGCCAGAATGGGGCTCAATGGAGTTCCAATTGCGACACCGTCAATTTGTCTGTAAGCCCAACCAAGGAAGGAGAACGATACGTTTGTTGTGCACAGTAGTAATTGTCGTACCAGAACTGATACTGGTATACCGATTTTCAGTTCGTTTTGCTCCACATGATCACACATGATACGTATGACCTCCCGACCGGGAACATTCGTAAACAGTGATTGGAAATCAAATGAAGCCATGTGCTTCCCTTTCACATTGATCTGGTCCAAAAGCTTTACCACTTCGAAACTGTCTTTTTTATAGTGTGTCTGACCATTGATTTATGAACTGGCTCAAGCAATTTCTCCAGCCATTTGGCCAATTCGTGTTGTGGTGAATTTGTCATAGATAGTAGTAGTATTGGTCCAAGTGGCACTCCGGGTTTGTTTAGTTTCGGTAAACCATACAGTTGTGCACTTCGAGTTCCTTTTGGCTTCAGATGGTGAGCTGTGCTTTCATCGATGAAGTGTCCTTCTAGTAGAAACTGTACTGCTGTCGATATCTGTTGTTCTAGTTCTTTAAGGACTTCACAGTCATCTTCGAGTACAAACTTGCTGGGATCATGAAGAACACTTTCCATCTTCTTCTCATAATCATTCCGATCGATCAGCACTGCTCCGGACCCCTTGTTAGGGCGTAAAACTAACAAATCAGGTCACAACTGTAGCTCTTCAATGGCGGATGTGAATGTGCTCAGGCGTGAAGAGTGACTTATGTTTGGACGATGTCATCCGGTACTGTCGTTCCAAGTCAACCAGCTTTGCTTTGAACCAAGTCTCCGCATCTTTTCAAGTTCGTTTGACTAATTGTAGTTGTTCGAATAGATATTCAAATTGCGCCTGTGTCTTTATGCTGGTCATTTTACTCGGTGGTATGCAGAAACGTAGACCACACGAAAGAGCCTGTAGTTGAAGTTCATTCGTTTAACCGGAGACAAATTCTTCACAAACCTTTCTGGTTGTTTCGGAAAATTTGGTTCGACTAACTTGTGGACGATGGAATTCTGAAGCTTGTTGAATGTACAAAGTTTGGCTTCTCGTATGTTTTCCATGCACAAGTTGGTAAATTTGATTCGGCTAACGAGGCTCAGTTCGTCAAGAATTATTGATCATTCAATGCACGTGGTCTGAAGTGTCGTTAGATTTTCTTTATAATCATCAATCTGACATCGCATCAAACGTCTCAAATTCCTGGTAGAGGCACAGATTTTATTCCTCCGTAAGCGTTTGCAAAACGTAATCGGATATCTGTTGCAACGGGCACGTTGTTCCAGAAAATGAATACGGACTCGAGTTGTGGCAATTTCACATCTCAATCTGACTAGGTCATCGAGAGACCTAATGGTTGATTTCGGGAGACGAGATCTGAGGAAATTTAAACATGCTTTTCCCGAAATAGTCTTGAAAAGAAAAGCCACAGTTGCAACATTGCACGATTCGTGTCCGGGACGATTTCGCTGCATCTGAACATGGTGCACACTGCACAACCATACTGTTTATATAAGTTCATGTAAAACCATAATTTTCGACAAATATAGGGGAAATTTCAATAGTCAAGTTACGTCACCATGATAAAGACACATGAACAAAGAGCTGTTTGTGCTGACACAATATTAGGTTTCCATGAATGTATGGCAATGGTTTGAACAAACCACAAAAGCCCGGTATTCTTTGCCACGTAAATGACCCGAAACGCAGTGGTTCGGTCAGCTGGATGTTGCGTCATCAGAAGATGACGAGCGACGGCCGACGGCCGACGGCCGACAGCCGACGACGGGATCTTATGGTTTCGAACGTTGTCATTATGCCTTTGATCTGACCCTGATTGCATCACAAAACGTTGTACCCAATTTGGAATATATTCAATCACTCGGTTACGTAACTGGCGCTCTGTTCGACCCACGTAGGTTGCTCCGCAACTACACTGAAATTGGTAAATCAGATTCGATTTGGTGTACAGAGATGGACGTTGTTTCACCGAGGGTGTGGGGATCTCAATCGTTCGATGAATAATTCTGAGGTCAGGTGCATAATATTTGTTTTGGGCAAGCGCTGATCCAAGTGGTCGTTTGAGCAAGCAATTGATGTCATCACGTTTGAATGGAAGACAAAGGGTGACTAGTAGTTTTTCTGCTGAACAATTCGTTTGTCTGATCAATTTAGGCTTGCTGTGCTTTTCGATAAACGCATCGGGATAAGCGTTTCTAGTCAAAGATTCTTTCAGCTGTCGTAGTTCGTTGTCAATCATGTCTTATGTGCAGATATGTCGTGCTGTTTGAAATAGTGTTCGGACCAGACCACGTTCATATTCCACAGACACAAAGCTGTCAAATTGCAAGCATTGGCCTGTCCAAGTTTCTTTTCGGTAAACAGATCTGGCCATTGTTCCATCATTATTCCTAGTCATTTTAATGTCGAGGAAGTGCAGTGTATCTTCGATTTCTGTTTCCATCGTAAATCGTATATTCGGATGCAGGCGATCGAGTTTATCCATAATCCATGTTGTCTCTTCTAGACTTATTGTGATGACTAGAACATGATCAACGTATCGTTTGTAAAGTTGTGAACGTTCGAGGATTTTGCTCGCCTTTTCCTCAAGATGAGCCAAAAACATATGTGCCAGAATGGGGCTCAATGGAGTTCCGATTGCGACACCGTCAATTTGTCTGTAAGCCCAACCAAGGAAGGAGAACGATACGTTTGTTGTGCACAGTAGTAATTGTCGTACCAGAACTGATACTGGTATACCGATTTTCAGTTCGTTTTGCTCCACATGATCACACATGATACGTATGACCTCCCGACCGGGAACATTCGTAAACAGTGATTGGAAATCAAATGAAGCCATGTGCTTCCCTTTCACATTGATCTGGTCCAAAAGCTTTACCACTTCGAAACTGTCTTTTTTATAGTGTGTCTGACCATTGATTTATGAACTGGCTCAAGCAATTTCTCCAGCCATTTGGCCAATTCGTGTTGTGGTGAATTTGTCATAGATAGTAGTAGTATTGGTCCAAGTGGCACTCCGGGTTTGTTTAGTTTCGGTAAACCATACAGTTGTGCACTTCGAGTTCCTTTTGGCTTCAGATGGTGAGCTGTGCTTTCATCGATGAAGTGTCCTTCTAGTAGAAACTGTACTGCTGTCGATATCTGTGGTTCTAGTTCTTTAGGGTCTTCACAGTCATCTTCGAGTACAAACTTGCTGGGATCATGAAGAACACTTTCCATCTTCTTCTCATAATCATTCCGATCGATCAGCACTGCTCCGGACCCCTTGTTAGGGCGTAAAACTAACAAATCAGGTCACAACTGTAGCTCTTCAATGGCGGATGTGAATGTGCTCAGGCGTGAAGAGTGACTTATGTTTGGACGATGTCATCCGGTACTGTCGTTCCAAGTCAACCAGCTTTGCTTTGAACCAAGTCTCCGCATCTTTTCAAGTTCGTTTGACTAATTGTAGTTGTTCGAATAGATATTCAAATTGCGCCTGTGTCTTTATGCTGGTCATTTTACTCGGTGGTATGCAGAAACGTAGACCACACGAAAGAGCCTGTAGTTGAAGTTCATTCGTTTAACCGGAGACAAATTCTTCACAAACCTTTCTGGTTGTTTCGGAAAATTTGGTTCGACTAACTTGTGGACGATGGAATTCTGAAGCTTGTTGAATGTACAAAGTTTGGCTTCTCGTATGTTTTCCATGCACAAGTTGGTAAATTTGATTCGGCTAACGAGGCTCAGTTCGTCAAGAATTATTGATCATTCAATGCACGTGGTCTGAAGTGTCGTTAGATTTTCTTTATAATCATCAATCTGACATCGCATCAAACGTCTCAAATTCCTGGTAGAGGCACAGATTTTATTCCTCCGTAAGCGTTTGCAAAACGTAATCGGATATCTGTTGCAACGGGCACGTTGTTCCAGAAAATGAATACGGACTCGAGTTGTGGCAATTTCACATCTCAATCTGACTAGGTCATCGAGAGACCTAATGGTTGATTTCGGGAGACGAGATCTGAGGAAATTTAAACATGCTTTTCCCGAAATAGTCTTGAAAAGAAAAGCCACAGTTGCAACATTGCACGATTCGTGTCCGGGACGATTTCGCTGCATCTGAACATGGTGCACACTGCACAACCATACTGTTTATATAAGTTCATGTAAAACCATAATTTTCGACAAATATAGGGGAAATTTCAATAGTCAAGTTACGTCACCATGATAAAGACACATGAACAAAGAGCTGTTTGTGCTGACACAATATTAGGTTTCCATGAATGTATGGCAATGGTTTGAACAAACCTCAAAAGCCTGGTATTCTTTGCCACGTAAATGACCCGAAACGCAGTGGTTCGGTCAGCTGGATGTTGCGTCATCAGAAGATGACGAGCGACGGCCGACGGCCGACGGCCGACAGCCGACGACGGGATCTTATGGTTTCGAACGTTGTCATTATGCCTTTGATCTGACCCTGATTGCATCACAAAACGTTGTACCCAATTTGGAATATATTCAATCACTCGGTTACGTAACTGGCGCTCTGTTCGACCCACGTAGGTTGCTCCGCAACTACACTGAAATTGATAAATCAGATTCGATTTGGTGTACAGAGGTGGACGTTGTTTCACCGAGGGTGTGGGGATCTCAATCGTTCGATGAATAATTCTGAGGTCAGGTGCATAATATTTGTTTTGGGCAAGCGCTGATCCAAGTGGTCGTTTGAGCAAGCAATTGATGTCATCACGTATGAATGGAAGACAAAGGGTGACTAGTAGTTTTTCTGCTGAACAATTCGTTTGTCTGATCAATTTAGGCTTGCTGTGCTTTTCGATAAACGCATCGGGATAAGCGTTTCTAGTCAAAGATTCTTTCAGCTGTCGTAGTTCGTTGTCAATCATGTCTTCTGTGCAGATATGTCGTGCTGTTTGAAATAGTGTTCGGACCAGACCACGTTCATATTCCACAGACACAAAGCTGTCAAATTGCAAGCATTGGCCTGTCCAAGTTTCTTTTCGGTAAACAGATCTGGCCATTGTTCCATCATTATTCCTAGTCATTTTAATGTCGAGGAAGTGCAGTGCATCTTCGATTTCTGTTTCCATCGTAAATCGTATATTCGGATGCAGGCGATCGAGTTTATCCATAATCCATGTTGTCTCTTCTAGACTTATTGTGATGACTAGAACATGATCAACGTATCGTTTGTAAAGTTGTGAACGTTCGAGGATTTTGCTCGCCTTTTCCTCAAGATGAGCCAAAAACAGATGTGCCAGAATGGGGCTCAATGGAGTTCCGATTGCGACACCGTCAATTTGTCTGTAAGCCCAACCAAGGAAGGAGAACGATACGTTTGTTGTGCACAGTAGTAATTGTCGTACCAGAACTGATACTGGTATACCGATTTTCAGTTCGTTTTGCTCCACATGATCACACATGATACGTATGACCTCCCGACCGGGAACATTCGTAAACAGTGATTGGAAATCAAATGAAGCCATGTGCTTCCCTTTCACATTGATCTGGTCCAAAAGCTTTACCACTTCGAAACTGTCTTTTTAATAGTGTGTCTGACCATTGATTTATGAACTGGCTCAAGCAATTTCTCCAGCCATTTGGCCAATTCGTGTTGTGGTGAATTTGTCATAGATAGTAGTAGTATTGGTCCAAGTGGCACTCCGGGTTTGTTTAGTTTCGGTAAACCATACAGTTGTGCACTTCGAGTTCCTTTTGGCTTCAGATGGTGAGCTGTGCTTTCATCGATGAAGTGTCCTTCTAGTAGAAACTGTACTGCTGTCGATATCTGTGGTTCTAGTTCTTTAGGGTCTTCACAGTCATCTTCGAGTACAAACTTGCTGGGATCATGAAGAACACTTTCCATCTTCTTCTCATAATCATTCCGATCGATCAGCACTGCTCCGGACCCCTTGTTAGGGCGTAAAACTAACAAATCAGGTCACAACTGTAGCTCTTCAATGGCGGATGTGAATGTGCTCAGGCGTGAAGAGTGACTTATGTTTGGACGATGTCATCCGGTACTGTCGTTCCAAGTCAACCAGCTTTGCTTTGAACCAAGTCTCCGCATCTTTTCAAGTTCGTTTGACTAATTGTAGTTGTTCGAATAGATATTCGAATTGCGCCTGTGTCTTTATGCTGGTCATTTTACTCGGTCGTATGCAGAAACGTAGACCACACGAAAGAGCCTGTAGTTGAAGTTCATTCGTTTAACCGGAGACAAATTCTTCACAAACATTTCTGGTTGTTTCGGAAAATTTGGTTCGACTAACTTGTGGACGATGGAATTCTGAAGCTTGTTGAATGTACAAAGTTTGGCTTCTCGTATGTTTTCCATGCACAAGTTGGTAAATTTGATTCGGCTAACGAGGCTCAGTTCGTCAAGAATTATTGATCATTCGATGCACGTGGTCTGAAGTGTCGTTAGATTTTCTTTATAATCATCAATCTGACATCGCATCAAACGTCTCAAATTCCTGGTAGAGGCACAGATTTTATTCCTCCGTAAGCGTTTGCAAAACGTAATCGGATATCTGTTGCAACGGGCACGTTGTTCCAGAAAATGAATACGGACTCGAGTTGTGGCAATTTCACATCTCAATCTGACTAGGTCATCGAGAGACCTAATGGTTGATTTCGGGAGACGAGATCTGAGGAAATTTAAACATGCTTTTCCCGAAATAGTCTTGAAAAGAAAAGCCACAGTTGCAACATTGCACGATTCGTGTCCGGGACGATTTCGCTGCATCTGAACATGGTGCACACTGCACAACCATACTGTTTATATAAGTTCATGTAAAACCATAATTTTCGACAAATATAGGGGAAATTTCAATAGTCAAGTTACGTCACCATGATAAAGACACATGAACAAAGAGCTGTTTGTGCTGACACAATATTAGGTTTCCATGAATGTATGGCAATGGTTTGAACAAACCTCAAAAGCCTGGTATTCTTTGCCACGTAAATGACCCGAAACGCAGTGCTTCGGTCAGCTGGATGTTGCGTCATCAGAAGATGACGAGCGACGGCCGACGGCCGACGGCCGACAGCCGACGACGGGATCTTATGGTTTCGAACGTTGTCATTATGCCTTTGATCTGACCCTGATTGCATCACAAAACGTTGTACCCAATTTGGAATATATTCAATCACTCGGTTACGTAACTGGCGCTCTGTTCGACCCACGTAGGTTGCTCCGCAACTACACTGAAATTGGTAAATCAGATTCGATTTGGTGTACAGAGATGGACGTTGTTTCACCGAGGGTGTGGGGATCTCAATCGTTCGATGAATAATTCTGAGGTCAGGTGCATAATATTTGTTTTGGGCAAGCGCTGATCCAAGTGGTCGTTTGAGCAAGCAATTGATGTCATCACGTTTGAATGGAAGACAAAGGGTGACTAGTAGTTTTTCTGCTGAACAATTCGTTTGTCTGATCAATTTAGGCTTGCTGTGCTTTTCGATAAACGCATCGGGATAAGCGTTTCTAGTCAAAGATTCTTTCAGCTGTCGTAGTTCGTTGTCAATCATGTCTTATGTGCAGATATGTCGTGCTGTTTGAAATAGTGTTCGAACCAGACCACGTTCATATTCCACAGACACAAAGCTGTCAAAATGCAAGCATTGGCCTGTCCAAGTTTCTTTTCGGTAAACAGATCTGGCCATTGTTCCATCATTATTCCTAGTCATTTTAATGTCGAGGAAGTGCAGTGTATCTTCGATTTCTGTTTCCATCGTAAATCGTATATTCGGATGCAGGCGATCGAGTTTATCCATAATCCATGTTGTCTCTTCTAGACTTATTGTGATGACTAGAACATGATCAACGTATCGTTTGTAAAGTTGTGAACGTTCGAGGATTTTGCTCGCCTTTTCCTCAAGATGAGCCAAAAACATATGTGCCAGAATGGGGCTCAATGGAGTTCCGATTGCGACACCGTCAATTTGTCTGTAAGCCCAACCAAGGAAGGAGAACGATACGTTTGTTGTGCACAGTAGTAATTGTCGTACCAGAACTGATACTGGTATACCGATTTTCAGTTCGTTTTGCTCCACATGATCACACATGATACGTATGACCTCCCGACCGGGAACATTCGTAAACAGTGATTGGAAATCAAATGAAGCCATGTGCTTCCCTTTCACATTGATCTGGTCCAAAAGCTTTACCACTTCGAAACTGTCTTTTTAATAGTGTGTCTGACCATTGATTTATGAACTGGCTCAAGCAATTTCTCCAGCCATTTGGCCAATTCGTGTTGTGGTGAATTTGTCATAGATAGTAGTAGTATTGGTCCAAGTGGCACTCCGGGTTTGTTTAGTTTCGGTAAACCATACAGTTGTGCACTTCGAGTTCCTTTTGGCTTCAGATGGTGAGCTGTGCTTTCATCGATGAAGTGTCCTTCTAGTAGAAACTGTACTGCTGTCGATATCTGTTGTTCTAGTTCTTTAAGGACTTCACAGTCATCTTCGAGTACAAACTTGCTGGGATCATGAAGAACACTTTCCATCTTCTTCTCATAATCATTCCGATCGATCAGCACTGCTCCGGACCCCTTGTTAGGGCGTAAAACTAACAAATCAGGTCACAACTGTAGCTCTTCAATGGCGGATGTGAATGTGCTCAGGCGTGAAGAGTGACTTATGTTTGGACGATGTCATCCGGTACTGTCGTTCCAAGTCAACCAGCTTTGCTTTGAACCAAGTCTCCGCATCTTTTGAAGTTCGTTTGACTAATTGTAGTTGTTCGAATAGATATTCGAATTGCGCCTGTGTCTTTATGCTGGTCATTTTACTCGGTGGTATGCAGAAACGTAGACCACACGAAAGAGCCTGTAGTTGAAGTTCATTCGTTTAACCGGAGACAAATTCTTCACAAACCTTTCTGGTTGTTTCGGAAAATTTGGTTCGACTAACTTGTGGACGATGGAATTCTGAAGCTTGTTGAATGTACAAAGTTTGGCTTCTCGTATGTTTTCCATGCACAAGTTGGTAAATTTGATTCGGCTAACGAGGCTCAGTTCGTCAAGAATTATTGATCATTCAATGCACGTGGTCTGAAGTGTCGTTAGATTTTCTTTATAATCATCAATCTGACATCGCATCAAACGTCTCAAATTCCTGGTAGAGGCACAGATTTTATTCCTCCGTAAGCGTTTGCAAAACGTAATCGGATATCTGTTGCAACGGGCACGTTGTTCCAGAAAATGAATACGGACTCGAGTTGTGGCAATTTCACATCTCAATCTGACTAGGTCATCGAGAGACCTAATGGTTGATTTCGGGAGACGAGATCTGAGGAAATTTAAACATGCTTTTCCCGAAATAGTCTTGAAAAGAAAAGCCACAGTTGCAACATTGCACGATTCGTGTCCGGGACGATTTCGCTGCATCTGAACATGGTGCACACTGCACAACCATACTGTTTATATAAGTTCATGTAAAACCATAATTTTCGACAAATATAGGGGAAATTTCAATAGTCAAGTTACGTCACCATGATAAAGACACATGAACAAAGAGCTGTTTGTGCTGACACAATATTAGGTTTCCATGAATGTATGGCAATGGTTTGAACAAACCACAAAAGCCCGGTATTCTTTGCCACGTAAATGACCCGAAACGCAGTGCTTCGGTCAGCTGGATGTTGCGTCATCAGAAGATGACGAGCGACGGCCGACGGCCGACGGCCGACAGCCGACGACGGGATCTTATGGTTTCGAACGTTGTCATTATGCCTTTGATCTGACCCTGATTGCATCACAAAACGTTGTACCCAATTTGGAATATATTCAATCACTCGGTTACGCAACTGGCGCTCTGTTCGACCCACGTAGGTTGCTCCGCAACTACACTGAAATTGGTAAATCAGATTCGATTTGGTGTACAGAGGTGGACGTTGTTTCACCGAGGGTGTGGGGATCTCAATCGTTCGATGAATAATTCTGAGGTCAGGTGCATAATATTTGTTTTGGGCAAGCGCTGATCCAAGTGGTCGTTTGAGCAAGCAATTGATGTCATCACGTTTGAATGGAAGACAAAGGGTGACTAGTAGTTTTTCTGCTGAACAATTCGTTTGTCTGATCAATTTAGGCTTGCTGTGCTTTTCGATAAACGCATCGGGATAAGCGTTTCTAGTCAAAGATTCTTTCAGCTGTCGTAGTTCGTTGTCAATCATGTCTTATGTGCAGATATGTCGTGCTGTTTGAAATAGTGTTCGGACCAGACCACGTTCATATTCCACAGACACAAAGCTGTCAAATTGCAAGCATTGGCCTGTCCAAGTTTCTTTTCGGTAAACAGATCTGGCCATTGTTCCATCATTATTCCTAGTCATTTTAATGTCGAGGAAGTGCAGTGTATCTTCGATTTCTGTTTCCATCGTAAATCGTATATTCGGATGCAGGCGATCGAGTTTATCCATAATCCATGTTGTCTCTTCTAGACTTATTGTGATGACTAGAACATGATCAACGTATCGTTTGTAAAGTTGTGAACGTTCGAGGATTTTGCTCGCCTTTTCCTCAAGATGAGCCAAAAACAGATGTGCCAGAATGGGGCTCAATGGAGTTCCGATTGCGACACCGTCAATTTGTCTGTAAGCCCAACCAAGGAAGGAGAACGATACGTTTGTTGTGCACAGTAGTAATTGTCGTACCAGAACTGATACTGGTATACCGATTTTCAGTTCGTTTTGCTCCACATGATCACACATGATACGTATGACCTCCCGACCGGGAACATTCGTAAACAGTGATTGGAAATCAAATGAAGCCATGTGCTTCCCTTTCACATTGATCTGGTCCAAAAGCTTTACCACTTCGAAACTGTCTTCTTTATAGTGTGTCTGACCATTGATTTATGAACTGGCTCAAGCAATTTCTCCAGCCATTTGGCCAATTCGTGTTGTGGTGAATTTGTCATAGATAGTAGTAGTATTGGTCCAAGTGGCACTCCGGGTTTGTTTAGTTTCGGTAAACCATACAGTTGTGCACTTCGAGTTCCTTTTGGCTTCAGATGGTGAGCTGTGCTTTCATCGATGAAGTGTCCTTCTAGTAGAAACTGTACTGCTGTCGATATCTGTTGTTCTAGTTCTTTAAGGACTTCACAGTCATCTTCGAGTACAAACTTGCTGGGATCATGAAGAACACTTTCCATCTTCTTCTCATAATCATTCCGATCGATCAGCACTGCTCCGGACCCCTTGTTAGGGCGTAAAACTAACAAATCAGGTCACAACTGTAGCTCTTCAATGGCGGATGTGAATGTGCTCAGGCGTGAAGAGTGACTTATGTTTGGACGATGTCATCCGGTACTGTCGTTCCAAGTCAACCAGCTTTGCTTTGAACCAAGTCTCCGCATCTTTTCAAGTTCGTTTAACTAATTGTATTGGTCGAATAGATATTCAAATTGCGCCTGTGTCTTTATGCTGGTCATTTTACTCGGTGGTATGCAGAAACGTAGACCACACGAAAGAGCCTGTAGTTGAAGTTCATTCGTTTAACCGGAGACAAATTCTTCACAAACCTTTCTGGTTGTTTCGGAAAATTTGGTTCGACTAACTTGTGGACGATGGAATTCTGAAGCTTGTTGAATGTACAAAGTTTGGCTTCTCGTATGTTTTCCATGCACAAGTTGGTAAATTTGATTCGGCTAACGAGGCTCAGTTCGTCAAGAATTATTGATCATTCAATGCACGTGGTCTGAAGTGTCGTTAGATTTTCTTTATAATCATCAATCTGACATCGCATCAAACGTCTCAAATTCCTGGTAGAGGCACAGATTTTATTCCTCCGTAAGCGTTTGCAAAACGTAATCGGATATCTGTTGCAACGGGCACGTTGTTCCAGAAAATGAATACGGACTCGAGTTGTGGCAATTTCACATCTCAATCTGACTAGGTCATCGAGAGACCTAATGGTTGATTTCGGGAGACGAGATCTGAGGAAATTTAAACATGCTTTTCCCGAAATAGTCTTGAAAAGAAAAGCCACAGTTGCAACATTGCACGATTCGTGTCCGGGACGATTTCGCTGCATCTGAACATGGTGCACACTGCACAACCATACTGTTTATATAAGTTCATGTAAAACCATAATTTTCGACAAATATAGGGGAAATTTCAATAGTCAAGTTACGTCACCATGATAAAGACACATGAACAAAGAGCTGTTTGTGCTGACACAATATTAGGTTTCCATGAATGTATGGCAATGGTTTGAACAAACCTCAAAAGCCTGGTATTCTTTGCCACGTAAATGACCCGAAACGCAGTGCTTCGGTCAGCTGGATGTTGCGTCATCAGAAGATGACGAGCGACGGCCGACGGCCGACGGCCGACAGCCGACGACGGGATCTTATGGTTTCGAACGTTGTCATTATGCCTTTGATCTGACCCTGATTGCATCACAAAACGTTGTACCCAATTTGGAATATATTCAATCACTCGGTTACGTAACTGGCGCTCTGTTCGACCCACGTACGTTGCTCCGCAACTACACTGAAATTGGTAAATCAGATTCGATTTGGTGTACAGAGGTGGACGTTGTTTCACCGAGGGTGTGGGGATCTCAATCGTTCGATGAATAATTCTGAGGTCAGGTGCATAATATTTGTTTTGGGCAAGCGCTGATCCAAGTGGTCGTTTGAGCAAGCAATTGATGTCATCACGTATGAATGGAAGACAAATGGTGACTAGTAGTTTTTCTGCTGAACAATTCGTTTGTCTGATCAATTTAGGCTTGCTGTGCTTTTCGATAAACGCATCGGGATAAGCGTTTCTAGTCAAAGATTCTTTCAGCTGTCGTAGTTCGTTGTCAATCATGTCTTCTGTGCAGATATGTCGTGCTGTTTGAAATAGTGTTCGGACCAGACCACGTTCATATTCCACAGACACAAAGCTGTCAAATTGCAAGCATTGGCCTGTCCAAGTTTCTTTTCGGTAAACAGATCTGGCCATTGTTCCATCATTATTCCTAGTCATTTTAATGTCGAGGAAGTGCAGTGTATCTTCGATTTCTGTTTCCATCGTAAATCGTATATTCGGATGCAGGCGATCGAGTTTATCCATAATCCATGTTGTCTCTTCTAGACTTATTGTGATGACTAGAACATGATCAACGTATCGTTTGTAAAGTTGTGAACGTTCGAGGATTTTGCTCGCCTTTTCCTCAAGATGAGCCAAAAACATATGTGCCAGAATGGGGCTCAATGGAGTTCCGATTGCGACACCGTCAATTTGTCTGTAAGCCCAACCAAGGAAGGAGAACGATACGTTTGTTGTGCACAGTAGTAATTGTCGTACCAGAACTGATACTGGTATACCGATTTTCAGTTCGTTTTGCTCCACATGATCACACATGATACGTATGACCTCCCGACCGGGAACATTCGTAAACAGTGATTGGAAATCAAATGAAGCCATGTGCTTCCCTTTCACATTGATCTGGTCCAAAAGCTTTACCACTTCGAAACTGTCTTTTTTATAGTGTGTCTGACCATTGATTTATGAACTGGCTCAAGCAATTTCTCCAGCCATTTGGCCAATTCGTGTTGTGGTGAATTTGTCATAGATAGTAGTAGTATTGGTCCAAGTGGCACTCCGGGTTTGTTTAGTTTCGGTAAACCATACAGTTGTGCACTTCGAGTTCCTTTTGGCTTCAGATGGTGAGCTGTGCTTTCATCGATGAAGTGTCCTTCTAGTAGAAACTGTACTGCTGTCGATATCTGTTGTTCTAGTTCTTTAGGGTCTTCACAGTCATCTTCGACTACAAACTTGCTGGGATCATGAAGAACACTTTCCATCTTCTTCTCATAATCATTCCGATCGATCAGCACTGCTCCGGACCCCTTGTTAGGGCGTAAAACTAACAAATCAGGTCACAACTGTAGCTCTTCAATGGCGGATGTGAATGTGCTCAGGCGTGAAGAGTGACTTATGTTTGGACGATGTCATCCGGTACTGTCGTTCCAAGTCAACCAGCTTTGCTTTGAACCAAGTCTCCGCATCTTTTCAAGTTCGTTTGACTAATTGTAGTTGTTCGAATAGATATTCAAATTGCGCCTGTGTCTTTATGCTGGTCATTTTACTCGGTGGTATGCAGAAACGTAGACCACACGAAAGAGCCTGTAGTTGAAGTTCATTCGTTTAACCGGAGACAAATTCTTCACAAACCTTTCTGGTTGTTTCGGAAAATTTGGTTCGACTAACTTGTGGACGATGGAATTCTGAAGCTTGTTGAATGTACAAAGTTTGGCTTCTCGTATGTTTTCCATGCACAAGTTGGTAAATTTGATTCGGCTAACGAGGCTCAGTTCGTCAAGAATTATTGATCATTCAATGCACGTGGTCTGAAGTGTCGTTAGATTTTCTTTATAATCATCAATCTGACATCGCATCAAACGTCTCAAATTCCTGGTAGAGGCACAGATTTTATTCCTCCGTAAGCGTTTGCAAAACGTAATCGGATATCTGTTGCAACGGGCACGTTGTTCCAGAAAATGAATACGGACTCGAGTTGTGGCAATTTCACATCTCAATCTGACTAGGTCATCGAGAGACCTAATGGTTGATTTCGGGAGACGAGATCTGAGGAAATTTAAACATGCTTTTCCCGAAATAGTCTTGAAAAGAAAAGCCACAGTTGCAACATTGCACGATTCGTGTCCGGGACGATTTCGCTGCATCTGAACATGGTGCACACTGCACAACCATACAGTTTATATAAGTTCATGTAAAACCATAATTTTCGACAAATATAGGGGAAATTTCAATAGTCAAGTTACGTCACCATGATAAAGACACATGAACAAAGAGCTGTTTGTGCTGACACAATATTAGGTTTCCATGAATGTATGGCAATGGTTTGAACAAACCTCAAAAGCCTGGTATTCTTTGCCACGTAAATGACCCGAAACGCAGTGCTTCGGTCAGCTGGATGTTGCGTCATCAGAAGATGACGAGCGACGGCCGACGGCCGACGGCCGACAGCCGACGACGGGATCTTATGGTTTCGAACGTTGTCATTATGCCTTTGATCTGACCCTGATTGCATCACAAAACGTTGTACCCAATTTGGAATATATTCAATCACTCGGTTACGTAACTGGCGCTCTGTTCGACCCACGTAGGTTGCTCCGCAACTACACTGAAATTGGTAAATCAGATTCGATTTGGTGTACAGAGGTGGACGTTGTTTCACCGAGGGTGTGGGGATCTCAATCGTTCGATGAATAATTCTGAGGTCAGGTGCATAATATTTGTTTTGGGCAAGCGCTGATCCAAGTGGTCGTTTGAGCAAGCAATTGATGTCATCACGTATGAATGGAAGACAAAGGGTGACTAGTAGTTTTTCTGCTGAACAATTCGTTTGTCTGATCAATTTAGGCTTGCTGTGCTTTTCGATAAACGCATCGGGATAAGCGTTTCTAGTCAAAGATTCTTTCAGCTGTCGTAGTTCGTTGTCAATCATGTCTTCTGTGCAGATATGTCGTGCTGTTTGAAATAGTGTTCGGACCAGACCACGTTCATATTCCACAGACACAAAGCTGTCAAATTGCAAGCATTGGCCTGTCCAAGTTTCTTTTCGGTAAACAGATCTGGCCATTGTTCCATCATTATTCCTAGTCATTTTAATGTCGAGGAAGTGCAGTGTATCTTCGATTTCTGTTTCCATCGTAAATCGTATATTCGGATGCAGGCGATCGAGTTTATCCATAATCCATGTTGTCTCTTCTAGACTTATTGTGATGACTAGAACATGATCAACGTATCGTTTGTAAAGTTGTGAACGTTCGAGGATTTTGCTCGCCTTTTCCTCAAGATGAGCCAAAAACAGATGTGCCAGAATGGGGCTCAATGGAGTTCCGATTGCGACACCGTCAATTTGTCTGTAAGCCCAACCAAGGAAGGAGAACGATACGTTTGTTGTGCACAGTAGTAATTGTCGTACCAGAACTGATACTGGTATACCGATTTTCAGTTCGTTTTGCTCCACATGATCACACATGATACGTATGACCTCCCGACCGGGAACATTCGTAAACAGTGATTGGAAATCAAATGAAGCCATGTGCTTCCCTTTCACATTGATCTGGTCCAAAAGCTTTACCACTTCGAAACTGTCTTTTTTATAGTGTGTCTGACCATTGATTTATGAACTGGCTCAAGCAATTTCTCCAGCCATTTGGCCAATTCGTGTTGTGGTGAATTTGTCATAGATAGTAGTAGTATTGGTCCAAGTGGCACTCCGGGTTTGTTTAGTTTCGGTAAACCATACAGTTGTGCACTTCGAGTTCCTTTTGGCTTCAGATGGTGAGCTGTGCTTTCATCGATGAAGTGTCCTTCTAGTAGAAACTGTACTGCTGTCGATATCTGTGGTTCTAGTTCTTTAGGGTCTTCACAGTCATCTTCGAGTACAAACTTGCTGGGATCATGAAGAACACTTTCCATCTTCTTCTCATAATCATTCCGATCGATCAGCACTGCTCCGGACCCCTTGTTAGGGCGTAAAACTAACAAATCAGGTCACAACTGTAGCTCTTCAATGGCGGATGTGAATGTGCTCAGGCGTGAAGAGTGACTTATGTTTGGACGATGTCATCCGGTACTGTCGTTCCAAGTCAACCAGCTTTGCTTTGAACCAAGTCTCCGCATCTTTTCAAGTTCGTTTGACTAATTGTAGTTGTTCGAATAGATATTCGAATTGCGCCTGTGTCTTTATGCTGGTCATTTTACTCGGTGGTATGCAGAAACGTAGACCACACGAAAGAGCCTGTAGTTGAAGTTCATTCGTTTAACCGGAGACAAATTCTTCACAAACATTTCTGGTTGTTTCGGAAAATTTGGTTCGACTAACTTGTGGACGATGGAATTCTGAAGCTTGTTGAATGTACAAAGTTTGGCTTCTCGTATGTTTTCCATGCACAAGTTGGTAAATTTGATTCGGCTAACGAGGCTCAGTTCGTCAAGAATTATTGATCATTCAATGCACGTGGTCTGAAGTGTCGTTAGATTTTCTTTATAATCATCAATCTGACATCGCATCAAACGTCTCAAATTCCTGGTAGAGGCACAGATTTTATTCCTCCGTAAGCGTTTGCAAAACGTAATCGGATATCTGTTGCAACGGGCACGTTGTTCCAGAAAATGAATACGGACTCGAGTTGTGGCAATTTCACATCTCAATCTGACTAGGTCATCGAGAGACCTAATGGTTGATTTCGGGAGACGAGATCTGAGGAAATTTAAACATGCTTTTCCCGAAATAGTCTTGAAAAGAAAAGCCACAGTTGCAACATTGCACGATTCGTGTCCGGGACGATTTCGCTGCATCTGAACATGGTGCACACTGCACAACCATACTGTTTATATAAGTTCATGTAAAACCATAATTTTCGACAAATATAGGGGAAATTTCAATAGTCAAGTTACGTCACCATGATAAAGACACATGAACAAAGAGCTGTTTGTGCTGACACAATATTAGGTTTCCATGAATGTATGGCAATGGTTTGAACAAACCTCAAAAGCCTGGTATTCTTTGCCACGTAAATGACCCGAAACGCAGTGGTTCGGTCAGCTGGATGTTGCGTCATCAGAAGATGACGATCGACGGCCGACGGCCGAAGGCCGACAGCCGACGACGGGATCTTATGGTTTCGAACGTTGTCATTATGCCTTTGATCTGACCCTGATTGCATCACAAAACGTTGTACCCAATTTGGAATATATTCAATCACTCGGTTACGTAACTGGCGCTCTGTTCGACCCACGTAGGTTGCTCCGCAACTACACTGAAATTGGTAAATCAGATTCGATTTGGTGTACAGAGATGGACGTTGTTTCACCGAGGGTGTGGGGATCTCAATCGTTCGATGAATAATTCTGAGGTCAGGTGCATAATATTTGTTTTGGGCAAGCGCTGATCCAAGTGGTCGTTTGAGCAAGCAATTGATGTCATCACGTTTGAATGGAAGACAAAGGGTGACTAGTAGTTTTTCTGCTGAACAATTCGTTTGTCTGATCAATTTAGGCTTGCTGTGCTTTTCGATAAACGCATCGGGATAAGCGTTTCTAGTCAAAGATTCTTTCAGCTGTCGTAGTTCGTTGTCAATCATGTCTTATGTGCAGATATGTCGTGCTGTTTGAAATAGTGTTCGAACCAGACCACGTTCATATTCCACAGACACAAAGCTGTCAAAATGCAAGCATTGGCCTGTCCAAGTTTCTTTTCGGTAAACAGATCTGGCCATTGTTCCATCATTATTCCTAGTCATTTTAATGTCGAGGAAGTGCAGTGTATCTTCGATTTCTGTTTCCATCGTAAATCGTATATTCGGATGCAGGCGATCGAGTTTATCCATAATCCATGTTGTCTCTTCTAGACTTATTGTGATGACTAGAACATGATCAACGTATCGTTTGTAAAGTTGTGAACGTTCGAGGATTTTGCTCGCCTTTTCCTCAAGATGAGCCAAAAACATATGTGCCAGAATGGGGCTCAATGGAGTTCCAATTGCGACACCGTCAATTTGTCTGTAAGCCCAACCAAGGAAGGAGAACGATACGTTTGTTGTGCACAGTAGTAATTGTCGTACCAGAACTGATACTGGTATACCGATTTTCAGTTCGTTTTGCTCCACATGATCACACATGATACGTATGACCTCCCGACCGGGAACATTCGTAAACAGTGATTGGAAATCAAATGAAGCCATGTGCTTCCCTTTCACATTGATCTGGTCCAAAAGCTTTACCACTTCGAAACTGTCTTTTTAATAGTGTGTCTGACCATTGATTTATGAACTGGCTCAAGCAATTTCTCCAGCCATTTGGCCAATTCGTGTTGTGGTGAATTTGTCATAGATAGTAGTAGTATTGGTCCAAGTGGCACTCCGGGTTTGTTTAGTTTCGGTAAACCATACAGTTGTGCACTTCGAGTTCCTTTTGGCTTCAGATGGTGAGCTGTGCTTTCATCGATGAAGTGTCCTTCTAGTAGAAACTGTACTGCTGTCGATATCTGTTGTTCTAGTTCTTTAAGGACTTCACAGTCATCTTCGAGTACAAACTTGCTGGGATCATGAAGAACACTTTCCATCTTCTTCTCATAATCATTCCGATCGATCAGCACTGCTCCGGACCCCTTGTTAGGGCGTAAAACTAACAAATCAGGTCACAACTGTAGCTCTTCAATGGCGGATGTGAATGTGCTCAGGCGTGAAGAGTGACTTATGTTTGGACGATGTCATCCGGTACTGTCGTTCCAAGTCAACCAGCTTTGCTTTGAACCAAGTCTCCGCATCTTTTCAAGTTCGTTTGACTAATTGTAGTTGTTCGAATAGATATTCAAATTGCGCCTGTGTCTTTATGCTGGTCATTTTACTCGGTGGTATGCAGAAACGTAGACCACACGAAAGAGCCTGTAGTTGAAGTTCATTCGTTTAACCGGAGACAAATTCTTCACAAACCTTTCTGGTTGTTTCGGAAAATTTGGTTCGACTAACTTGTGGACGATGGAATTCTGAAGCTTGTTGAATGTACAAAGTTTGGCTTCTCGTATGTTTTCCATGCACAAGTTGGTAAATTTGATTCGGCTAACGAGGCTCAGTTCGTCAAGAATTATTGATCATTCAATGCACGTGGTCTGAAGTGTCGTTAGATTTTCTTTATAATCATCAATCTGACATCGCATCAAACGTCTCAAATTCCTGGTAGAGGCACAGATTTTATTCCTCCGTAAGCGTTTGCAAAACGTAATCGGATATCTGTTGCAACGGGCACGTTGTTCCAGAAAATGAATACGGACTCGAGTTGTGGCAATTTCACATCTCAATCTGACTAGGTCATCGAGAGACCTAATGGTTGATTTCGGGAGACGAGATCTGAGGAAATTTAAACATGCTTTTCCCGAAATAGTCTTGAAAAGAAAAGCCACAGTTGCAACATTGCACGATTCGTGTCCGGGACGATTTCGCTGCATCTGAACATGGTGCACACTGCACAACCATACTGTTTATATAAGTTCATGTAAAACCATAATTTTCGACAAATATAGGGGAAATTTCAATAGTCAAGTTACGTCACCATGATAAAGACACATGAACAAAGAGCTGTTTGTGCTGACACAATATTAGGTTTCCATGAATGTATGGCAATGGTTTGAACAAACCACAAAAGCCCGGTATTCTTTGCCACGTAAATGACCCGAAACGCAGTGGTTCGGTCAGCTGGATGTTGCGTCATCAGAAGATGACGAGCGACGGCCGACGGCCGACGGCCGACAGCCGACGACGGGATCTTATGGTTTCGAACGTTGTCATTATGCCTTTGATCTGACCCTGATTGCATCACAAAACGTTGTACCCAATTTGGAATATATTCAATCACTCGGTTACGCAACTGGCGCTCTGTTCGACCCACGTAGGTTGCTCCGCAACTACACTGAAATTGGTAAATCAGATTCGATTTGGTGTACAGAGGTGGACGTTGTTTCACCGAGGGTGTGGGGATCTCAATCGTTCGATGAATAATTCTGAGGTCAGGTGCATAATATTTGTTTTGGGCAAGCGCTGATCCAAGTGGTCGTTTGAGCAAGCAATTGATGTCATCACGTTTGAATGGAAGACAAAGGGTGACTAGTAGTTTTTCTGCTGAACAATTCGTTTGTCTGATCAATTTAGGCTTGCTGTGCTTTTCGATAAACGCATCGGGATAAGCGTTTCTAGTCAAAGATTCTTTCAGCTGTCGTAGTTCGTTGTCAATCATGTCTTATGTGCAGATATGTCGTGCTGTTTGAAATAGTGTTCGGACCAGACCACGTTCATATTCCACAGACACAAAGCTGTCAAATTGCAAGCATTGGCCTGTCCAAGTTTCTTTTCGGTAAACAGATCTGGCCATTGTTCCATCATTATTCCTAGTCATTTTAATGTCGAGGAAGTGCAGTGTATCTTCGATTTCTGTTTCCATCGTAAATCGTATATTCGGATGCAGGCGATCGAGTTTATCCATAATCCATGTTGTCTCTTCTAGACTTATTGTGATGACTAGAACATGATCAACGTATCGTTTGTAAAGTTGTAAACGTTCGAGGATTTTGCTCGCCTTTTCCTCAAGATGAGCCAAAAACAGATGTGCCAGAATGGGGCTCAATGGAGTTCCGATTGCGACACCGTCAATTTGTCTGTAAGCCCAACCAAGGAAGGAGAACGATACGTTTGTTGTGCACAGTAGTAATTGTCGTACCAGAACTGATACTGGTATACCGATTTTCAGTTCGTTTTGCTCCACATGATCACACATGATACGTATGACCTCCCGACCGGGAACATTCGTAAACAGTGATTGGAAATCAAATGAAGCCATGTGCTTCCCTTTCACATTGATCTGGTCCAAAAGCTTTACCACTTCGAAACTGTCTTTTTAATAGTGTGTCTGACCATTGATTTATGAACTGGCTCAAGCAATTTCTCCAGCCATTTGGCCAATTCGTGTTGTGGTGAATTTGTCATAGATAGTAGTAGTATTGGTCCAAGTGGCACTCCGGGTTTGTTTAGTTTCGGTAAACCATACAGTTGTGCACTTCGAGTTCCTTTTGGCTTCAGATGGTGAGCTGTGCTTTCATCGATGAAGTGTCCTTCTAGTAGAAACTGTACTGCTGTCGATATCTGTTGTTCTAGTTCTTTAAGGACTTCACAGTCATCTTCGAGTACAAACTTGCTGGGATCATGAAGAACACTTTCCATCTTCTTCTCATAATCATTCCGATCGATCAGCACTGCTCCGGACCCCTTGTTAGGGCGTAAAACTAACAAATCAGGTCACAACTGTAGCTCTTCAATGGCGGATGTGAATGTGCTCAGGCGTGAAGAGTGACTTATGTTTGGACGATGTCATCCGGTACTGTCGTTCCAAGTCAACCAGCTTTGCTTTGAACCAAGTCTCCGCATCTTTTCAAGTTCGTTTGACTAATTGTAGTTGTTCGAATAGATATTCAAATTGCGCCTGTGTCTTTATGCTGGTCATTTTACTCGGTGGTATGCAGAAACGTAGACCACACGAAAGAGCCTGTAGTTGAAGTTCATTCGTTTAACCGGAGACAAATTCTTCACAAACCTTTCTGGTTGTTTCGGAAAATTTGGTTCGACTAACTTGTGGACGATGGAATTCTGAAGCTTGTTGAATGTACAAAGTTTGGCTTCTCGTATGTTTTCCATGCACAAGTTGGTAAATTTGATTCGGCTAACGAGGCTCAGTTCGTCAAGAATTATTGATCATTCGATGCACGTGGTCTGAAGTGTCGTTAGATTTTCTTTATAATCATCAATCTGACATCGCATCAAACGTCTCAAATTCCTGGTAGAGGCACAGATTTTATTCCTCCGTAAGCGTTTGCAAAACGTAATCGGATATCTGTTGCAACGGGCACGTTGTTCCAGAAAATGAATACGGACTCGAGTTGTGGCAATTTCACATCTCAATCTGACTAGGTCATCGAGAGACCTAATGGTTGATTTCGGGAGACGAGATCTGAGGAAATTTAAACATGCTTTTCCCGAAATAGTCTTGAAAAGAAAAGCCACAGTTGCAACATTGCACGATTCGTGTCCGGGACGATTTCGCTGCATCTGAACATGGTGCACACTGCACAACCATACTGTTTATATAAGTTCATGTAAAACCATAATTTTCGACAAATATAGGGGAAATTTCAATAGTCAAGTTACGTCACCATGATAAAGACACATGAACAAAGAGCTGTTTGTGCTGACACAATATTAGGTTTCCATGAATGTATGGCAATGGTTTGAACAAACCTCAAAAGCCTGGTATTCTTTGCCACGTAAATGACCCGAAACGCAGTGCTTCGGTCAGCTGGATGTTGCGTCATCAGAAGATGACGAGCGACGGCCGACGGCCGACGGCCGACAGCCGACGACGGGATCTTATGGTTTCGAACGTTGTCATTATGCCTTTGATCTGACCCTGATTGCATCACAAAACGTTGTACCCAATTTGGAATATATTCAATCACTCGGTTACGTAACTGGCGCTCTGTTCGACCCACGTACGTTGCTCCGCAACTACACTGAAATTGGTAAATCAGATTCGATTTGGTGTACAGAGATGGACGTTGTTTCACCGAGGGTGTGGGGATCTCAATCGTTCGATGAATAATTCTGAGGTCAGGTGCATAATATTTGTTTTGGGCAAGCGCTGATCCAAGTGGTCGTTTGAGCAAGCAATTGATGTCATCACGTTTGAATGGAAGACAAAGGGTGACTAGTAGTTTTTCTGCTGAACAATTCGTTTGTCTGATCAATTTAGGCTTGCTGTGCTTTTCGATAAACGCATCGGGATAAGCGTTTCTAGTCAAAGATTCTTTCAGCTGTCGTACTTCGTTGTCAATCATGTCTTATGTGCAGATATGTCGTGCTGTTTGAAATAGTGTTCGAACCAGACCACGTTCATATTCCACAGACACAACGCTGTCAAAATGCAAGCATTGGCCTGTCCAAGTTTCTTTTCGGTAAACAGATCTGGCCATTGTTCCATCATTATTCCTAGTCATTTTAATGTCGAGGAAGTGCAGTGTATCTTCGATTTCTGTTTCCATCGTAAATCGTATATTCGGATGCAGGCGATCGAGTTTATCCATAATCCATGTTGTCTCTTCTAGACTTATTGTGATGACTAGAACATGATCAACGTATCGTTTGTAAAGTTGTGAACGTTCGAGGATTTTGCTCGCCTTTTCCTCAAGATGAGCCAAAAACAGATGTGCCAGAATGGGGCTCAATGGAGTTCCAATTGCGACACCGTCAATTTGTCTGTAAGCCCAACCAAGGAAGGAGAACGATACGTTTGTTGTGCACAGTAGTAATTGTCGTACCAGAACTGATACTGGTATACCGATTTTCAGTTGGTTTTTGCTCCACATGATCACACATGATACGTATGACCTCCCGACCGGGAACATTCGTAAACAGTGATTGGAAATCAAATGAAGCCATGTGCTTCCCTTTCACATTGATCTGGTCCAAAAGCTTTACCACTTCGAAACTGTCTTTTTAATAGTGTGTCTGACCATTGATTTATGAACTGGCTCAAGCAATTTCTCCAGCCATTTGGCCAATTCGTGTTGTGGTGAATTTGTCATAGATAGTAGTAGTATTGGTCCAAGTGGCACTCCGGGTTTGTTTAGTTTCGGTAAACCATACAGTTGTGCACTTCGAGTTCCTTTTGGCTTCAGATGGTGAGCTGTGCTTTCATCGATGAAGTGTCCTTCTAGTAGAAACTGTACTGCTGTCGATATCTGTTGTTCTAGTTCTTTAAGGACTTCACAGTCATCTTCGAGTACAAACTTGCTGGGATCATGAAGAACACTTTCCATCTTCTTCTCATAATCATTCCGATCGATCAGCACTGCTCCGGACCCCTTGTTAGGGCGTAAAACTAACAAATCAGGTCACAACTGTAGCTCTTCAATGGCGGATGTGAATGTGCTCAGGCGTGAAGAGTGACTTATGTTTGGACGATGTCATCCGGTACTGTCGTTCCAAGTCAACCAGCTTTGCTTTGAACCAAGTCTCCGCATCTTTTCAAGTTCGTTTGACTAATTGTAGTTGTTCGAATAGATATTCAAATTGCGCCTGTGTCTTTATGCTGGTCATTTTACTCGGTGGTATGCAGAAACGTAGACCACACGAAAGAGCCTGTAGTTGAAGTTCATTCGTTTAACCGGAGACAAATTCTTCACAAACCTTTCTGGTTGTTTCGGAAAATTTGGTTCGACTAACTTGTGGACGATGGAATTCTGAAGCTTGTTGAATGTACAAAGTTTGGCTTCTCGTATGTTTTCCATGCACAAGTTGGTAAATTTGATTCGGCTAACGAGGCTCAGTTCGTCAAGAATTATTGATCATTCAATGCACGTGGTCTGAAGTGTCGTTAGATTTTCTTTATAATCATCAATCTGACATCGCATCAAACGTCTCAAATTCCTGGTAGAGGCACAGATTTTATTCCTCCGTAAGCGTTTGCAAAACGTAATCGGATATCTGTTGCAACGGGCACGTTGTTCCAGAAAATGAATACGGACTCGAGTTGTGGCAATTTCACATCTCAATCTGACTAGGTCATCGAGAGACCTAATGGTTGATTTCGGGAGACGAGATCTGAGGAAATTTAAACATGCTTTTCCCGAAATAGTCTTGAAAAGAAAAGCCACAGTTGCAACATTGCACGATTCGTGTCCGGGACGATTTCGCTGCATCTGAACATGGTGCACACTGCACAACCATACTGTTTATATAAGTTCATGTAAAACCATAATTTTCGACAAATATAGGGGAAATTTCAATAGTCAAGTTACGTCACCATGATAAAGACACATGAACAAAGAGCTGTTTGTGCTGACACAATATTAGGTTTCCATGAATGTATGGCAATGGTTTGAACAAACCACAAAAGCCTGGTATTCTTTGCCACGTAAATGACCCGAAACGCAGTGCTTCGGTCAGCTGGATGTTGCGTCATCAGAAGATGACGAGCGACGGCCGACGGCCGACGGCCGACAGCCGACGACGGGATCTTATGGTTTCGAACGTTGTCATTATGCCTTTGATCTGACCCTGATTGCATCACAAAACGTTGTACCCAATTTGGAATATATTCAATCACTCGGTTACGTAACTGGCGCTCTGTTCGACCCACGTACGTTGCTCCGCAACTACACTGAAATTGGTAAATCAGATTCGATTTGGTGTACAGAGGTGGACGTTGTTTCACCGAGGGTGTGGGGATCTCAATCGTTCGATGAATAATTCTGAGGTCAGGTGCATAATATTTGTTTTGGGCAAGCGCTGATCCAAGTGGTCGTTTGAGCAAGCAATTGATGTCATCACGTATGAATGGAAGACAAAGGGTGACTAGTAGTTTTTCTGCTGAACAATTCGTTTGTCTGATCAATTTAGGCTTGCTGTGCTTTTCGATAAACGCATCGGGATAAGCGTTTCTAGTCAAAGATTCTTTCAGCTGTCGTAGTTCGTTGTCAATCATGTCTTATGTGCAGATATGTCGTGCTGTTTGAAATAGTGTTCGGACCAGACCACGTTCATATTCCACAGACACAAAGCTGTCAAATTGCAAGCATTGGCCTGTCCAAGTTTCTTTTCGGTAAACAGATCTGGCCATTGTTCCATCATTATTCCTAGTCATTTTAATGTCGAGGAAGTGCAGTGTATCTTCGATTTCTGTTTCCATCGTAAATCGTATATTCGGATGCAGGCGATCGAGTTTATCCATAATCCATGTTGTCTCTTCTAGACTTATTGTGATGACTAGAACATGATCAACGTATCGTTTGTAAAGTTGTGAACGTTCGAGGATTTTGCTCGCCTTTTCCTCAAGATGAGCCAAAAACATATGTGCCAGAATGGGGCTCAATGGAGTTCCGATTGCGACACCGTCAATTTGTCTGTAAGCCCAACCAAGGAAGGAGAACGATACGTTTGTTGTGCACAGTAGTAATTGTCGTACCAGAACTGATACTGGTATACCGATTTTCAGTTCGTTTTGCTCCACATGATCACACATGATACGTATGACCTCCCGACCGGGAACATTCGTAAACAGTGATTGGAAATCAAATGAAGCCATGTGCTTCCCTTTCACATTGATCTGGTCCAAAAGCTTTACCACTTCGAAACTGTCTTTTTAATAGTGTGTCTGACCATTGATTTATGAACTGGCTCAAGCAATTTCTCCAGCCATTTGGCCAATTCGTGTTGTGGTGAATTTGTCATAGATAGTAGTAGTATTGGTCCAAGTGGCACTCCGGGTTTGTTTAGTTTCGGTGAACCATACAGTTGTGCACTTCGAGTTCCTTTTGGCTTCAGATGGTGAGCTGTGCTTTCATCGATGAAGTGTCCTTCTAGTAGAAACTGTACTGCTGTCGATATCTGTTGTTCTAGTTCTTTAAGGACTTCACAGTCATCTTCGAGTACAAACTTGCTGGGATCATGAAGAACACTTTCCATCTTCTTCTCATAATCATTCCGATCGATCAGCACTGCTCCGGACCCCTTGTTAGGGCGTAAAACTAACAAATCAGGTCACAACTGTAGCTCTTCAATGGCGGATGTGAATGTGCTCAGGCGTGAAGAGTGACTTATGTTTGGACGATGTCATCCGGTACTGTCGTTCCAAGTCAACCAGCTTTGCTTTGAACCAAGTCTCCGCATCTTTTCAAGTTCGTTTGACTAATTGTAGTTGTTCGAATAGATATTCAAATTGCGCCTGTGTCTTTATGCTGGTCATTTTACTCGGTGGTATGCAGAAACGTAGACCACACGAAAGAGCCTGTAGTTGAAGTTCATTCGTTTAACCGGAGACAAATTCTTCACAAACCTTTCTGGTTGTTTCGGAAAATTTGGTTCGACTAACTTGTGGACGATGGAATTCTGAAGCTTGTTGAATGTACAAAGTTTGGCTTCTCGTATGTTTTCCATGCACAAGTTGGTAAATTTGATTCGGCTAACGAGGCTCAGTTCGTCAAGAATTATTGATCATTCGATGCACGTGGTCTGAAGTGTCGTTAGATTTTCTTTATAATCATCAATCTGACATCGCATCAAACGTCTCAAATTCCTGGTAGAGGCACAGATTTTATTCCTCCGTAAGCGTTTGCAAAACGTAATCGGATATCTGTTGCAACGGGCACGTTGTTCCAGAAAATGAATACGGACTCGAGTTGTGGCAATTTCACATCTCAATCTGACTAGGTCATCGAGAGACCTAATGGTTGATTTCGGGAGACGAGATCTGAGGAAATTTAAACATGCTTTTCCCGAAATAGTCTTGAAAAGAAAAGCCACAGTTGCAACATTGCACGATTCGTGTCCGGGACGATTTCGCTGCATCTGAACATGGTGCACACTGCACAACCATACTGTTTATATAAGTTCATGTAAAACCATAATTTTCGACAAATATAGGGGAAATTTCAATAGTCAAGTTACGTCACCATGATAAAGACACATGAACAAAGAGCTGTTTGTGCTGACACAATATTAGGTTTCCATGAATGTATGGCAATGGTTTGAACAAACCTCAAAAGCCTGGTATTCTTTGCCACGTAAATGACCCGAAACGCAGTGCTTCGGTCAGCTGGATGTTGCGTCATCAGAAGATGACGAGCGACGGCCGACGGCCGACGGCCGACAGCCGACGACGGGATCTTATGGTTTCGAACGTTGTCATTATGCCTTTGATCTGACCCTGATTGCATCACAAAACGTTGTACCCAATTTGGAATATATTCAATCACTCGGTTACGTAACTGGCGCTCTGTTCGACCCACGTACGTTGCTCCGCAACTACACTGAAATTGGTAAATCAAATTCGATTTGGTGTACAGAGGTGGACGTTGTTTCACCGAGGGTGTGGGGATCTCAATCGTTCGATGAATAATTCTGAGGTCAGGTGCATAATATTTGTTTTGGGCAAGCGCTGATCCAAGTGGTCGTTTGAGCAAGCAATTGATGTCATCACGTATGAATGGAAGACAAAGGGTGACTAGTAGTTTTTCTGCTGAACAATTCGTTTGTCTGATCAATTTAGGCTTGCTGTGCTTTTCGATAAACGCATCGGGATAAGCGTTTCTAGTCAAAGATTCTTTCAGCTGTCGTAGTTCGTTGTCAATCATGTCTTCTGTGCAGATATGTCGTGCTGTTTGAAATTGTGTTCGGACCAGACCACGTTCATATTCCACAGACACAAAGCTGTCAAATTGCAAGCATTGGCCTGTCCAGGTTTCTTTTCGGTAAACAGATCTGGCCATTGTTCCATCATTATTCCTAGTCATTTTAATGTCGAGGAAGTGCAGTGTATCTTCGATTTCTGTTTCCATCGTAAATCGTATATTCGGATGCAGGCGATCGAGTTTATCCATAATCCATGTTGTCTCTTCTAGACTTATTGTGATGACTAGAACATGATCAACGTATCGTTTGTAAAGTTGTAAACGTTCGAGGATTTTGCTCGCCTTTTCCTCAAGATGAGCCAAAAACATATGTGCCAGAATGGGGCTCAATGGAGTTCCGATTGCGACACCGTCAATTTGTCTGTAAGCCCAACCAAGGAAGGAGAACGATACGTTTGTTGTGCACAGTAGTAATTGTCGTACCAGAACTGATACTGGTATACCGATTTTCAGTTCGTTTTGCTCCACATGATCACACATGATACGTATGACCTCCCGACCGGGAACATTCGTAAACAGTGATTGGAAATCAAATGAAGCCATGTGCTTCCCTTTCACATTGATCTGGTCCAAAAGCTTTACCACTTCGAAACTGTCTTTTTTATAGTGTGTCTGACCATTGATTTATGAACTGGCTCAAGCAATTTCTCCAGCCATTTGGCCAATTCGTGTTGTGGTGAATTTGTCATAGATAGTAGTAGTATTGGTCCAAGTGGCACTCCGGGTTTGTTTAGTTTCGGTAAACCATACAGTTGTGCACTTCGAGTTCCTTTTGGCTTCAGATGGTGAGCTGTGCTTTCATCGATGAAGTGTCCTTCTAGTAGAAACTGTACTGCTGTCGATATCTGTTGTTCTAGTTCTTTAGGGTCTTCACAGTCATCTTCGAGTACAAACTTGCTGGGATCATGAAGAACACTTTCCATCTTCTTCTCATAATCATTCCGATCGATCAGCACTGCTCCGGACCCCTTGTTAGGGCGTAAAACTAACAAATCAGGTCACAACTGTAGCTCTTCAATGGCGGATGTGAATGTGCTCAGGCGTGAAGAGTGACTTATGTTTGGACGATGTCATCCGGTACTGTCGTTCCAAGTCAACCAGCTTTGCTTTGAACCAAGTCTCCGCATCTTTTGAAGTTCGTTTGACTAATTGTAGTTGTTCGAATAGATATTCGAATTGCGCCTGTGTCTTTATGCTGGTCATTTTACTCGGTCGTATGCAGAAACGTAGACCACACGAAAGAGCCTGTAGTTGAAGTTCATTCGTTTAACCGGAGACAAATTCTTCACAAACCTTTCTGGTTGTTTCGGAAAATTTGGTTCGACTAACTTGTGGACGATGGAATTCTGAAGCTTGTTGAATGTACAAAGTTTGGCTTCTCGTATGTTTTCCATGCACAAGTTGGTAAATTTGATTCGGCTAACGAGGCTCAGTTCGTCAAGAATTATTGATCATTCAATGCACGTGGTCTGAAGTGTCGTTAGATTTTCTTTATAATCATCAATCTGACATCGCATCAAACGTCTCAAATTCCTGGTAGAGGCACAGATTTTATTCCTCCGTCAGCGTTTGCAAAACGTAATCGGATATCTGTTGCAACGGGCACGTTGTTCCAGAAAATGAATACGGACTCGAGTTGTGGCAATTTCACATCTCAATCTGACTAGGTCATCGAGAGACCTAATGGTTGATTTCGGGAGACGAGATCTGAGGAAATTTAAACATGCTTTCCCCGAAATAGTCTTGAAAAGAAAAGCCACAGTTGCAACATTGCACGATTCGTGTCCGGGACGATTTCGCTGCATCTGAACATGGTGCACACTGCACAACCATACTGTTTATATAAGTTCATGTTAAACCATAATTTTCGACAAATATAGGGGGAATTTCAATAGTTAAGTTACGTCACCATGATAAAGACACATGAACAAAGAGCTGTTTGTGCTGACACAATATTAGGTTTCCATGAATGTATGGCAATGGTTTGAACAAACCTCAAAAGCCTGGTATTCTTTGCCACGTAAATGACCCGAAACGCAGTGCTTCGGTCAGCTGGATGTTGCGTCATCAGAAGATGACGAGCGACGGCCGACGGCCGACGGCCGACAGCCGACGACGGGATCTTATGGTTTCGAACGTTGTCATTATGCCTTTGATCTGACCCTGATTGCATCACAAAACGTTGTACCCAATTTGGAATATATTCAATCACTCGGTTACGTAACTGGCGCTCTGTTCGACCCACGTACGTTGCTCCGCAACTACACTGAAATTGGTAAATCAGATTCGATTTGGTGTACAGAGGTGGACGTTGATTCACCGAGGGTGTGGGGATCTCAATCGTTCGATGAATAATTCTGAGGTCAAGTGCATAATATTTGTTTTGGGCAAGCGCTGATCCAAGTGGTCGTTTGAGCAAGCAATTGATGTCATCACGTATGAATGGAAGACAAAGGGTGACTAGTAGTTTTTCTGCTGAACAATTCGTTTGTCTGATCAATTTAGGCTTGCTGTGCTTTTCGATAAACGCATCGGGATAAGCGTTTCTAGTCAAAGATTCTTTCAGCTGTCGTAGTTCGTTGTCAATCATGTCTTCTGTGCAGATATGTCGTGCTGTTTGAAATTGTGTTCGGACCAGACCACGTTCATATTCCACAGACACAAAGCTGTCAAATTGCAAGCATTGGCCTGTCCAAGTTTCTTTTCGGTAAACAGATCTGGCCATTGTTCCATCATTATTCCTAGTCATTTTAATGTCGAGGAAGTGCAGTGTATCTTCGATTTCTGTTTCCATCGTAAATCGTATATTCGGATGCAGGCGATCGAGTTTATCCATAATCCATGTTGTCTCTTCTAGACTTATTGTGATGACTAGAACATGATCAACGTATCGTTTGTAAAGTTGTGAACGTTCGAGGATTTTGCTCGCCTTTTCCTCAAGATGAGCCAAAAACATATGTGCCAGAATGGGGCTCAATGGAGTTTCGATTGCGACACCGTCAATTTGTCTGTAAGCCCAACCAAGGAAGGAGAACGATACGTTTGTTGTGCACAGTAGTAATTGTCGTACCAGAACTGATACTGGTATACCGATTTTCAGTTCGTTTTGCTCCACATGATCACACATGATACGTATGACCTCCCGACCGGGAACATTCGTAAACAGTGATTGGAAATCAAATGAAGCCATGTGCTTCCCTTTCACATTGATCTGGTCCAAAAGCTTTACCACTTCGAAACTGTCTTTTTTATAGTGTGTCTGACCATTGATTTATGAACTGGCTCAAGCAATTTCTCCAGCCATTTGGCCAATTCGTGTTGTGGTGAATTTGTCATAGATAGTAGTAGTATTGGTCCAAGTGGCACTCCGTGTTTGTTTAGTTTCGGTAAACCATACAGTTGTGCACTTCGAGTTCCTTTTGGCTTCAGATGGTGAGCTGTGCTTTCATCGATGAAGTGTCCTTCTAGTAGAAACTGTACTGCTGTCGATATCTGTTGTTCTAGTTCTTTAGGGTCTTCACAGTCATCTTCGAGTACAAACTTGCTGGGATCATGAAGAACACTTTCCATCTTCTTCTCATAATCATTCCGATCGATCAGCACTGCTCCGGACCCCTTGTTAGGGCGTAAAACTAACAAATCAGGTCACAACTGTAGCTCTTCAATGGCGGATGTGAATGTGCTCAGGCGTGAAGAGTGACTTATGTTTGGACGATGTCATCCGGTACTGTCGTTCCAAGTCAACCAGCTTTGCTTTGAACCAAGTCTCCGCATCTTTTGAAGTTCGTTTAACTAATTGTAGTTGTTCGAATAGATATTCGAATTGCGCCTGTGTCTTTATGCTGGTCATTTTACTCGGTCGTATGCAGAAACGTAGACCACACGAAAGAGCCTGTAGTTGAAGTTCATTCGTTTAACCGGAGACAAATTCTTCACAAACCTTTCTGGTTGTTTCGGAAAATTTGGTTCGACTAACTTGTGGACGATGGAATTCTGAAGCTTGTTGAATGTACAAAGTTTGGCTTCTCGTATGTTTTCCATGCACAAGTTGGTAAATTTGATTCGGCTAACGAGGCTCAGTTCGTCAAGAATTATTGATCATTCAATGCACGTGGTCTGAAGTGTCGTTAGATTTTCTTTATAATCATCAATCTGACATCGCATCAAACGTCTCAAATTCCTGGTAGAGGCACAGATTTTATTCCTCCGTAAGCGTTTGCAAAACGTAATCGGATATCTGTTGCAACGGGCACGTTGTTCCAGAAAATGAATACGGACTCGAGTTGTGGCAATTTCACATCTCAATCTGACTAGGTCATCGAGAGACCTAATGGTTGATTTCGGGAGACGAGATCTGAGGAAATTTAAACATGCTTTCCCCGAAATAGTCTTGAAAAGAAAAGCCACAGTTGCAACATTGCACGATTCGTGTCCGGGACGATTTCGCTGCATCTGAACATGGTGCACACTGCACAACCATACTGTTTATATAAGTTCATGTAAAACCATAATTTTCGACAAATATAGGGGAAATTTCAATAGTCAAGTTACGTCACCATGATAAAGACACATGAACAAAGAGCTGTTTGTGCTGACACAATATTAGGTTTCCATGAATGTATGGCAATGGTTTGAACAAACCTCAAAAGCCCGGTATTCTTTGCCACGTAAATGACCCGAAACGCAGTGCTTCGGTCAGCTAGATGTTGCGTCATCAGAAGATGACGAGCGACGGCCGACGGCCGACAGCCGACGACGGGATCTTATGGTTTCGAACGTTGTCATTATGCCTTTGATCTGACCCTGATTGCATCACAAAACGTTGTACCCAATTTGGAATATATTCAATCACTCGGTTACGTAACTGGCGCTCTGTTCGACCCACGTACGTTGCTCCGCAACTACACTGAAATTGGTAAATCAAATTCGATTTGGTGTACAGAGGTGGACGTTGTTTCACCGAGGGTGTGGGGATCTCAATCGTTCGATGAATAATTCTGAGGTCAGGTGCATAATATTTGTTTTGGGCAAGCGCTGATCCAAGTGGTCGTTTGAGCAGGCAATTGATGTCATCACGTATGAATGGAAGACAAAGGGTGACTAGTAGTTTTTCTGCTGAACAATTCGTTTGTCTGATCAATTTAGGCTTGCTGTGCTTTTCGATAAACGCATCGGGATAAGCGTTTCTAGTCAAAGATTCTTTCAGCTGTCGTAGTTCGTTGTCAATCATGTCTTATGTGCAGATATGTCGTGCTGTTTGAAATTGTGTTCGGACCAGACCACGTTCATATTCCACAGACACAAAGCTGTCAAATTGCAAGCATTGGCCTGTCCAAGTTTCTTTTCGGTAAACAGATCTGGCCATTGTTCCATCATTATTCCTAGTCATTTTAATGTCGAGGAAGTGCAGTGTATCTTCGATTTCTGTTTCCATCGTAAATCGTATATTCGGATGCAGGCGATCGAGTTTATCCATAATCCATGTTGTCTCTTCTAGACTTATTGTGATGACTAGAACATGATCAACGTATCGTTTGTAAAGTTGTGAACGTTCGAGGATTTTGCTCGCCTTTTCCTCAAGATGAGCCAAAAACATATGTGCCAGAATGGGGCTCAATGGAGTTCCGATTGCGACACCGTCAATTTGTCTGTAAGCCCAACCAAGGAAGGAGAACGATACGTTTGTTGTGCACAGTAGTAATTGTCGTACCAGAACTGATACTGGTATACCGATTTTCAGTTCGTTTTGCTCCACATGATCACACATGATACGTATGACCTCCCGACCGGGAACATTCGTAAACAGTGATTGGAAATCAAATGAAGCCATGTGCTTCCCTTTCACATTGATCTGGTCCAAAAGCTTTACCACTTCGAAACTGTCTTTTTTATAGTGTGTCTTACCATTGATTTATGAACTGGCTCAAGCAATTTCTCCAGCCATTTGGCCAATTCGTGTTGTGGTGAATTTGTCATAGATAGTAGTAGTATTGGTCCAAGTGGCACTCCGGGTTTGTTTAGTTTCGGTAAACCATACAGTTGTGCACTTCGAGTTCCTTTTGGCTTCAGATGGTGAGCTGTGCTTTCATCGATGAAGTGTCCTTCTAGTAGAAACTGTACTGCTGTCGATATCTGTTGTTCTAGTTCTTTAGGGTCTTCACAGTCATCTTCGAGTACAAACTTGCTGGGATCATGAAGAACACTTTCCATCTTCTTCTCATAATCATTCCGATCGATCAGCACTGCTCCGGACCCCTTGTTAGGGCGTAAAACTAACAAATCAGGTCACAACTGTAGCTCTTCAATGGCGGATGTGAATGTGCTCAGGCGTGAAGAGTGACTTATGTTTGGACGATGTCATCCGGTACTGTCGTTCCAAGTCAACCAGCTTTGCTTTGAACCAAGTCTCCGCATCTTTTGAAGTTCGTTTGACTAATTGTAGTTGTTCGAATAGATATTCGAATTGCGCCTGTGTCTTTATGCTGGTCATTTTACTCGGTCGTATGCAGAAACGTAGACCACACGAAAGAGCCTGTAGTTGAAGTTCATTCGTTTAACCGGAGACAAATTCTTCACAAACCTTTCTGGTTGTTTCGGAAAATTTGGTTCGACTAACTTGTGGACGATGGAATTCTGAAGCTTGTTGAATGTACAAAGTTTGGCTTCTCGTATGTTTTCCATGCACAAGTTGGTAAATTTGATTCGGCTAACGAGGCTCAATTCGTCAAGAATTATTGATCATTCGATGCACGTGGTCTGAAGTGTCGTTAGATTTTCTTTATAATCATCAATCTGACATCGCATCAAACGTCTCAAATTCCTGGTAGAGGCACAGATTTTATTCCTCCGTAAGCGTTTGCAAAACGTAATTGGATATCTGTTGCAACGGGCACGTTGTTCCAGAAAATGAATACGGACTCGAGTTGTGGCAATTTCACATCTCAATCTGACTAGGTCATCGAGAGACCTAATGGTTGATTTCGGGAGACGAGATCTGAGGAAATTTAAACATGCTTTTCCCGAAATAATCTTGAAAAGAAAAGCCACAGTTGCAACATTGCACGATTCGTGTCCGGGACGATTTCGCTGCATCTGAACATGGTGCACACTGCACAACCATACTGTTTATATAAGTTCATGTAAAACCATAATTTTCGACAAATATAGGGGAAATTTCAATAGTCAAGTTACGTCACCATGATAAAGACACATGAACAAAGAGCTGTTTGTGCTGACACAATATTAGGTTTCCATGAATGTATGGCAATGGTTTGAACAAACCTCAAAAGCCCGGTATTCTTTGCCACGTAAATGACCCGAAACGCAGTGCTTCGGTCAGCTAGATGTTGCGTCATCAGAAGATGACGAGCGACGGCCGACGGCCGACAGCCGACGACGGGATCTTATGGTTTCGAACGTTGTCATTATGCCTTTGATCTGACCCTGATTGCATCACAAAACGTTGTACCCAATTTGGAATATATTCAATCACTCGGTTACGTAACTGGCGCTCTGTTCGACCCACGTAGGTTGCTCCGCAACTACACTGAAATTGATAAATCAGATTCGATTTGGTGTACAGAGGTGGACGTTGTTTCACCGAGGGTGTGGGGATCTCAATCGTTCGATGAATAATTCTGAGGTCAGGTGCATAATATTTGTTTTGGGCAAGCGCTGATCCAAGTGGTCGTTTGAGCAAGCAATTGATGTCATCACGTATGAATGGAAGACAAAGGGTGACTAGTAGTTTTTCTGCTGAACAATTCGTTTGTCTGATCAATTTAGGCTTGCTGTGCTTTTCGATAAACGCATCGGGATAAGCGTTTCTAGTCAAAGATTCTTTCAGCTGTCGTAGTTCGTTGTCAATCATGTCTTCTGTGCAGATATGTCGTGCTGTTTGAAATTGTGTTCGGACCAGACCACGTTCATATTCCACAGACACAAAGCTGTCAAATTGCAAGCATTGGCCTGTCCAGGTTTCTTTTCGGTAAACAGATCTGGCCATTGTTCCATCATTATTCCTAGTCATTTTAATGTCGAGGAAGTGCAGTGTATCTTCGATTTCTGTTTCCATCGTAAATCGTATATTCGGATGCAGGCGATCGAGTTTATCCATAATCCATGTTGTCTCTTCTAGACTTATTGTGATGACTAGAACATGATCAACGTATCGTTTGTAAAGTTGTAAACGTTCGAGGATTTTGCTCGCCTTTTCCTCAAGATGAGCCAAAAACATATGTGCCAGAATGGGGCTCAATGGAGTTCCGATTGCGACACCGTCAATTTGTCTGTAAGCCCAACCAAGGAAGGAGAACGATACGTTTGTTGTGCACAGTAGTAATTGTCGTACCAGAACTGATACTGGTATACCGATTTTCAGTTCGTTTTGCTCCACATGATCACACATGATACGTATGACCTCCCGACCGGGAACATTCGTAAACAGTGATTGGAAATCAAATGAAGCCATGTGCTTCCCTTTCACATTGATCTGGTCCAAAAGCTTTACCACTTCGAAACTGTCTTTTTTATAGTGTGTCTGACCATTGATTTATGAACTGGCTCAAGCAATTTCTCCAGCCATTTGGCCAATTCGTGTTGTGGTGAATTTGTCATAGATAGTAGTAGTATTGGTCCAAGTGGCACTCCGGGTTTGTTTAGTTTCGGTAAACCATACAGTTGTGCACTTCGAGTTCCTTTTGGCTTCAGATGGTGAGCTGTGCTTTCATCGATGAAGTGTCCTTCTAGTAGAAACTGTACTGCTGTCGATATCTGTTGTTCTAGTTCTTTAGGGTCTTCACAGTCATCTTCGAGTACAAACTTGCTGGGATCATGAAGAACACTTTCCATCTTCTTCTCATAATCATTCCGATCGATCAGCACTGCTCCGGACCCCTTGTTAGGGCGTAAAACTAACAAATCAGGTCACAACTGTAGCTCTTCAATGGCGGATGTGAATGTGCTCAGGCGTGAAGAGTGACTTATGTTTGGACGATGTCATCCGGTACTGTCGTTCCAAGTCAACCAGCTTTGCTTTGAACCAAGTCTCCGCATCTTTTGAAGTTCGTTTGACTAATTGTAGTTGTTCGAATAGATATTCGAATTGCGCCTGTGTCTTTATGCTGGTCATTTTACTCGGTCGTATGCAGAAACGTAGACCACACGAAAGAGCCTGTAGTTGAAGTTCATTCGTTTAACCGGAGACAAATTCTTCACAAACCTTTCTGGTTGTTTCGGAAAATTTGGTTCGACTAACTTGTGGACGATGGAATTCTGAAGCTTGTTGAATGTACAAAGTTTGGCTTCTCGTATGTTTTCCATGCACAAGTTGGTAAATTTGATTCGGCTAACGAGGCTCAGTTCGTCAAGAATTATTGATCATTCGATGCACGTGGTCTGAAGTGTCGTTAGATTTTCTTTATAATCATCAATCTGACATCGCATCAAACGTCTCAAATTCCTGGTAGAGGCACAGATTTTATTCCTCCGTAAGCGTTTTCAAAACGTAATTGGATATCTGTTGCAACGGGCACGTTGTTCCAGAAAATGAATACGGACTCGAGTTGTGGCAATTTCACATCTCAATCTGACTAGGTCATCGATAGACCTAATGGTTGATTTCGGGAGACGAGATCTGAGGAAATTTAAACATGCTTTTCCCGAAATAGTCTTGAAAAGAAAAGCCACAGTTGCAACATTGCACGATTCGTGTCCGGGACGATTTCGCTGCATCTGAACATGGTGCACACTGCACAACCATACTGTTTATATAAGTTCATGTAAAACCATAATTTTCGACAAATATAGGGGAAATTTCAATAGTCAAGTTACGTCACCATGATAAAGACACATGAACAAAGAGCTGTTTGTGCTGACACAATATTAGGTTTCCATGAATGTATGGCAATGGTTTGAACAAACCTCAAAAGCCTGGTATTCTTTGCCACGTAAATGACCCGAAACGCAGTGCTTCGGTCAGCTAGATGTTGCGTCATCAGAAGATGACGAGCGACGGCCGACGGCCGACAGCCGACGACGGGATCTTATGGTTTCGAACGTTGTCATTATGCCTTTGATCTGACCCTGATTGCATCACAAAACGTTGTACCCAATTTGGAATATATTCAATCACTCGGTTACGTAACTGGCGCTCTGTTCGACCCACGTAGGTTGCTCCGCAACTACACTGAAATTGATAAATCAGATTCGATTTGGTGTACAGAGGTGGACGTTGTTTCACCGAGGGTGTGGGGATCTCAATCGTTCGATGAATAATTCTGAGGTCAGGTGCATAATATTTGTTTTGGGCAAGCGCTGATCCAAGTGGTCGTTTGAGCAAGCAATTGATGTCATCACGTTTGAATGGAAGACGAAGGGTGACTAGTAGTTTTTCTGCTGAACAATTCGTTTGTCTGATCAATTTAGGCTTGCTGTGCTTTTCGATAAACGCATCGGGATAAGCGTTTCTAGTCAAAGATTCTTTCAGCTGTCGTAGTTCGTTGTCAATCATGTCTTCTGTGCAGATATGTCGTGCTGTTTGAAATAGTGTTCGGACCAGACCACGTTCATATTCCACAGACACAAAGCTGTCAAATTGCAAGCATTGGCCTGTCCAAGTTTCTTTTCGGTAAACAGATCTGGCCATTGTTCCATCATTATTCCTAGTCATTTTAATGTCGAGGAAGTGCAGTGTATCTTCGATTTCTGTTTCCATCGTAAATCGTATATTCGGATGCAGGCGATCGAGTTTATCCATAATCCATGTTGTCTCTTCTAGACTTATTGTGATGACTAGAACATGATCAACGTATCGTTTGTAAAGTTGTGAACGTTCGAGGATTTTGCTCGCCTTTTCCTCAAGATGAGCCAAAAACAGATGTGCCAGAATGGGGCTCAATGGAGTTCCGATTGCGACACCGTCAATTTGTCTGTAAGCCCAACCAAGGAAGGAGAACGATACGTTTGTTGTGCACAGTAGTAATTGTCGTACCAGAACTGATACTGGTATACCGATTTTCAGTTCGTTTTGCTCCACATGATCACACATGATACGTATGACCTCCCGACCGGGAACATTCGTAAACAGTGATTGGAAATCAAATGAAGCCATGTGCTTCCCTTTCACATTGATCTGGTCCAAAAGCTTTACCACTTCGAAACTGTCTTTTTTATAGTGTGTCTGACCATTGATTTATGAACTGGCTCAAGCAATTTCTCCAGCCATTTGGCCAATTCGTGTTGTGGTGAATTTGTCATAGATAGTAGTAGTATTGGTCCAAGTGGCACTCCGTGTTTGTTTAGTTTCGGTAAACCATACAGTTGTGCACTTCGAGTTCCTTTTGGCTTCAGATGGTGAGCTGTGCTTTCATCGATGAAGTGTCCTTCTAGTAGAAACTGTACTGCTGTCGATATCTGTTGTTCTAGTTCTTTAGGGTCTTCACAGTCATTTTCGAGTACAAACTTGCTGGGATCATGAAGAACACTTTCCATCTTCTTCTCATAATCATTCCGATCGATCAGCACTGCTCCGGACCCCTTGTTAGGGCGTAAAACTAACAAATCAGGTCACAACTGTAGCTCTTCAATGGCGGATGTGAATGTGCTCAGGCGTGAAGAGTGACTTATGTTTGGACGATGTCATCCGGTACTGTCGTTCCAAGTCAACCAGCTTTGCTTTGAACCAAGTCTCCGCATCTTTTGAAGTTCGTTTGACTAATTGTAGTTGTTCGAATAGATATTCGAATTGCGCCTGTGTCTTTATGCTGGTCATTTTACTCGGTCGTATGCAGAAACGTAGACCACACGAAAGAGCCTGTAGTTGAAGTTCATTCGTTTAACCGGAGACAAATTCTTCACAAACCTTTCTGGTTGTTTCGGAAAATTTGGTTCGACTAACTTGTGGACGATGGAATTCTGAAGCTTGTTGAATGTACAAAGTTTGGCTTCTCGTATGTTTTCCATGCACAAGTTGGTAAATTTGATTCGGCTAACGAGGCTCAGTTCGTCAAGAATTATTGATCATTCGATGCACGTGGTCTGAAGTGTCGTTAGATTTTCTTTATAATCATCAATCTGACATCGCATCAAACGTCTCAAATTCCTGGTAGAGGCACAGATTTTATTCCTCCGTAAGCGTTTGCAAAACGTAATCGGATATCTGTTGCAACGGGCACGTTGTTCCAGAAAATGAATACGGACTCGAGTTGTGGCAATTTCACATCTCAATCTGACTAGGTCATCGAGAGACCTAATGGTTGATTTCGGGAGACGAGATCTGAGGAAATTTAAACATGCTTTTCCCGAAATAGTCTTGAAAAGAAAAGCCACAGTTGCAACATTGCACGATTCGTGTCCGGGACGATTTCGCTGCATCTGAACATGGTGCACACTGCACAACCATACTGTTTATATAAGTTCATGTTAAACCATAATTTTCGACAAATATAGGGGAAATTTCAATAGTCAAGTTACGTCACCATGATAAAGACACATGAACAAAGAGCTGTTTGTGCTGACACAATATTAGGTTTCCATGAATGTATGGCAATGGTTTGAACAAACCTCAAAAGCCTGGTATTCTTTGCCACGTAAATGACCCGAAACGCAGTGCTTCGGTCAGCTGGATGTTGCGTCATCAGAAGATGACGAGCGACGGCCGACGGCCGACGGCCGACGGCCGACGGCCGACAGCCGACGACGGGATCTTATGGTTTCGAACGTTGTCATTATGCCTTTGATCTGACCCTGATTGCATCACAAAACGTTGTACCCAATTTGGAATATATTCAATCACTCGGTTACGTAACTGGCGCTCTGTTCGACCCACGTAGGTTGCTCCGCAACTACACTGAAATTGATAAATCAGATTCGATTTGGTGTACAGAGGTGGACGTTGTTTCACCGAGGGTGTGGGGATCTCAATCGTTCGATGAATAATTCTGAGGTCAGGTGCATAATATTTGTTTTGGGCAAGCGCTGATCCAAGTGGTCGTTTGAGCAAGCAATTGATGTCATCACGTTTGAATGGAAGACGAAGGGTGACTAGTAGTTTTTCTGCTGAACAATTCGTTTGTCTGATCAATTTAGGCTTGCTGTGCTTTTCGATAAACGCATCGGGATAAGCGTTTCTAGTCAAAGATTCTTTCAGCTGTCGTAGTTCGTTGTCAATCATGTCTTCTGTGCAGATATGTCGTGCTGTTTGAAATAGTGTTCGGACCAGACCACGTTCATATTCCACAGACACAAAGCTGTCAAATTGCAAGCATTGGCCTGTCCAAGTTTCTTTTCGGTAAACAGATCTGGCCATTGTTCCATCATTATTCCTAGTCATTTTAATGTCGAGGAAGTGCAGTGTATCTTCGATTTCTGTTTCCATCGTAAATCGTATATTCGGATGCAGGCGATCGAGTTCATCCATAATCCATGTTGTCTCTTCTAGACTTTTTGTGATGACTAGAACATGATCAACGTATCGTTTGTAAAGTTGTAAACGTTCGAGGATTTTGCTCGCCTTTTCCTCAAGATGAGCCAAAAACATATGTGCCAGAATGGGGCTCAATGGAGTTCCGATTGCGACACCGTCAATTTGTCTGTAAGCCCAACCAAGGAAGGAGAACGATACGTTTGTTGTGCACAGTAGTAATTGTCGTACCAGAACTGATACTGGTATACCGATTTTCAGTTCGTTTTGCTCCACATGATCACACATGATACGTATGACCTCCCGACCGGGAACATTCGTAAACAGTGATTGGAAATCAAATGAAGCCATGTGCTTCCCTTTCACATTGATCTGGTCCAAAAGCTTTACCACTTCGAAACTGTCTTTTTTATAGTGTGTCTGACCATTGATTTATGAACTGGCTCAAGCAATTTCTCCAGCCATTTGGCCAATTCGTGTTGTGGTGAATTTGTCATAGATAGTAGTAGTATTGGTCCAAGTGGCACTCCGTGTTTGTTTAGTTTCGGTAAACCATACAGTTGTGCACTTCGAGTTCCTTTTGGCTTCAGATGGTGAGCTGTGCTTTCATCGATGAAGTGTCCTTCTAGTAGAAACTGTACTGCTGTCGATATCTGTTGTTCTAGTTCTTTAGGGTCTTCACAGTCATTTTCGAGTACAAACTTGCTGGGATCATGAAGAACACTTTCCATCTTCTTCTCATAATCATTCCGATCGATCAGCACTGCTCCGGACCCCTTGTTAGGGCGTAAAACTAACAAATCAGGTCACAACTGTAGCTCTTCAATGGCGGATGTGAATGTGCTCAGGCGTGAAGAGTGACTTATGTTTGGACGATGTCATCCGGTACTGTCGTTCCAAGTCAACCAGCTTTGCTTTGAACCAAGTCTCCGCATCTTTTGAAGTTCGTTTAACTAATTGTAGTTGTTCGAATAGATATTCGAATTGCGCCTGTGTCTTTATGCTGGTCATTTTACTCGGTCGTATGCAGAAACGTAGACAACACGAAAGAGCCTGTAGTTGAAGTTCATTCGTTTAACCGGAGACAAATTCTTCACAAACCTTTCTGGTTGTTTCGGAAAATTTGGTTCGACTAACTTGTGGACGATGGAATTCTGAAGCTTGTTGAATGTACAAAGTTTGGCTTCTCGTATGTTTTCCATGCACAAGTTGGTAAATTTGATTCGGCTAACGAGGCTCAGTTCGTCAAGAATTATTGATCATTCGATGCACGTGGTCTGAAGTGTCGTTAGATTTTCTTTATAATCATCAATCTGACATCGCATCAAACGTCTCAAATTCCTGGTAGAGGCACAGATTTTATTCCTCCGTAAGCGTTTGCAAAACGTAATCGGATATCTGTTGCAACGGGCACGTTGTTCCAGAAAATGAATACGGACTCGAGTTGTGGCAATTTCACATCTCAATCTGACTAGGTCATCGAGAGACCTATTGGTTGATTTCGGGAGACGAGATCTGAGGAAATTTAAACACGCTTTTCCCGAAATAGTCTTGAAAAGAAAAGCCACAGTTGCAACATTGCACGATTCGTGTCCGGGACGATTTCGCTGCATCTGAACATGGTGCACACTGCACAACCATACTGTTTATATAAGTTCATGTAAAACCATAATTTTCGACAAATATAGGGGAAATTTCAATAGTCAAGTTACGTCACCATGATAAAGACACATGAACAAAGAGCTGTTTGAGCAGACACAATATTAGGTTTCCATGAATGTATGGCAATGGTTTGAACAAACCTCAAAAGCCTGGTATTCTTTGCCACGTAAATGACCCGAAACGCAGTGCTTCGGTCAGCTGGATGTTGCGTCATCAGAAGATGACGAGCGACGGCCGACGGCCGACGGCCGACAGCCGACGACGGGATCTTATGGTTTCGAACGTTGTCATTATGCCTTTGATCTGACCCTGATTGCATCACAAAACGTTGTACCCAATTTGGAATATATTCAATCACTCGGTTACGTAACTGGCGCTCTGTTCGACCCACGTAGGTTGCTCCGCAACTACACTGAAATTGATAAATCAGATTCGATTTGGTGTACAGAGGTGGACGTTGTTTCACCGAGGGTGTGGGGATCTCAATCGTTCGATGAATAATTCTGAGGTCAGGCGCATAATATTTGTTTTGGGCAAGCGCTGATCCAAGTGGTCGTTTGAGCAAGCAATTGATGTTATCACGTATGAATGGAAGACAAAGGGTGACTAGTAGTTTTTCTGCTGAACAATTCGTTTGTCTGATCAATTTAGTCTTGCTGTGTATTTCGATAAACGCATCGGGATAAGCGTTTCTAGTCAAAGATTCTTTCAGCTGTCGTAGTTCGTTGTCAATCATGTCTTCTGTGCAGATATGTCGTGCTGTTTGAAATAGTGTTCGGACCAGACCACGTTCATATTCCACAGACACAAAGCTGTCAAATTGCAAGCATTGGCCTGTCCAGGTTTCTTTTCGGTAAACAGATCTGGCCATTGTTCCATCATTATTCCTAGTCATTTTAATGTCGAGGAAGTGCAGTGTATCTTCGATTTCTGTTTCCATCGTAAATCGTATATTCGGATGCAGGCGATCGAGTTTATCCATAATCCATGTTGTCTCTTCTAGACTTATTGTGATGACTAGAACATGATCAACGTATCGTTTGTAAAGTTGTGAACGTTCGAGGATTTTGCTCGCCTTTTCCTCAAGATGAGCCAAAAACATATGTGCCAGAATGGGGCTCAATGGAGTTCCGTTTGCGACACCGTCAATTTGTCTGTAAGCCCAACCAAGGAAGGAGAACGATACGTTTGTTGTGCACAGTAGTAATTGTCGTACCAGAACTGATACTGGTATACCGATTTTCAGTTCGTTTTGCTCCACATGATCACACATGATACGTATGACCTCCCGACCGGGAACATTCGTAAACAGTGATTGGAAATCAATGAAGCCATGTGCTTCCCTTTCACATTGATCTGGTCCAAAAGCTTTACCACTTCGAAACTGTCTTTTTTATAGTGTGTCTGACCATTGATTTATGAACTGGCTCAAGCAATTTCTCCAGCCATTTGGCCAATTCGTGTTGTGGTGAATTTGTCATAGATAGTAGTAGTATTGGTCCAAGTGGCACTCCGGGTTTGTTTAGTTTCGGTAAACCATACAGTTGTGCACTTCGAGTTCCTTTTGGCTTCAGATGGTGAGCTGTGCTTTCATCGATGAAGTGTCCTTCTAGTAGAAACTGTACTGCTGTCGATATCTGTTGTTCTAGTTCTTTAGGGTCTTCACAGTCATTTTCGAGTACAAACTTGCTGGGATCATGAAGAACACTTTCCATCTTCTTCTCATAATCATTCCGATCGATCAGCACTGCTCCGGACCCCTTGTTAGGGCGTAAAACTAACAAATCAGGTCACAACTGTAGCTCTTCAATGGCGGATGTGAATGTGCTCAGGCGTGAAGAGTGACTTATGTTTGGACGATGTCATCCGGTACTGTCGTTCCAAGTCAACCAGCTTTGCTTTGAACCAAGTCTCCGCATCTTTTGAAGTTCGTTTGACTAATTGTAGTTGTTCGAATAGATATTCGAATTGCGCCTGTGTCTTTATGCTGGTCATTTTACTCGGTCGTATGCAGAAACGTAGACCACACGAAAGAGCCTGTAGTTGAAGTTCATTCGTTTAACCGGAGACAAATTCTTCACAAACCTTTCTGGTTGTTTCGGAAAATTTGGTTCGACTAACTTGTGGACGATGGAATTCTGAAGCTTGTTGAATGTACAAAGTTTGGCTTCTCGTATGTTTTCCATGCACAAGTTGGTAAATTTGATTCGGCTAACGAGGCTCAGTTCGTCAAGAATTATTGATCATTCGATGCACGTGGTCTGAAGTGTCGTTAGATTTTCTTTATAATCATCAATCTGACATCGCATCAAACGTCTCAAATTCCTGGTAGAGGCACAGATTTTATTCCTCCGTAAGCGTTTGCAAAACGTAATCGGATATCTGTTGCAACGGGCACGTTGTTCCAGAAAATGAATACGGACTCGAGTTGTGGCAACTTCACATCTCAATCTGACTAGGTCATCGAGAGACCTAATGGTTGATTTCGGGAGACGAGATCTGAGGAAATTTAAACATGCTTTTCCCGAAATAGTCTTGAAAAGAAAAGCCACAGTTGCAACATTGCACGATTCGTGTCCGGGACGATTTCGCTGCATCTGAACATGGTGCACACTGCACAACCATACTGTTTATATAAGTTCATGTAAAACCATAGTTTTCGACAAATATAGGGGAAATTTCAATAGTCAAGTTACGTCACCATGATAAAGACACATGAACAAAGAGCTGTTTGTGCTGACACAATATTAGGTTTCCATGAATGTATGGCAATGGTTTGAACAAACCTCAAAAGCCTCGTATTCTTTGCCACGTAAATGACCCGAAACGCAGTGCTTCGGTCAGCTGGATGTTGCGTCATCAGAAGATGACGAGCGACGGCCGACGGCCGACGGCCGACAGCCGACGACGGGATCTTATGGTTTCGAACGTTGTCATTATGCCTTTGATCTGACCCTGATTGCATCACAAAACGTTGTACCCAATTTGGAATATATTCAATCACTCGGTTACGTAACTGGCGCTCTGTTCGACCCACGTACGTTGCTCCGCAACTACACTGAAATTGGTAAATCAGATTCGATTTGGTGTACAGAGGTGGACGTTGTTTCACCGAGGGTGTGGGGATCTCAATCGTTCGATGAATAATTCTGAGGTCAGGTGCATAATATTTGTTTTGGGCAAGCGCTGATCCAAGTGGTCGTTTGAGCAAGCAATTGATGTCATCACGTATGAATGGAAGACAAATGGTGACTAGTAGTTTTTCTGCTGAACAATTCGTTTGTCTGATCAATTTAGGCTTGCTGTGCTTTTCGATAAACGCATCGGGATAAGCGTTTCTAGTCAAAGATTCTTTCAGCTGTCGTAGTTCGTTGTCAATCATGTCTTCTGTGCAGATATGTCGTGCTGTTTGAAATAGTGTTCGGACCAGACCACGTTCATATTCCACAGACACAAAGCTGTCAAATTGCAAGCATTGGCCTGTCCAAGTTTCTTTTCGGTAAACAGATCTGGCCATTGTTCCATCATTATTCCTAGTCATTTTAATGTCGAGGAAGTGCAGTGTATCTTCGATTTCTGTTTCCATCGTAAATCGTATATTCGGATGCAGGCGATCGAGTTTATCCATAATCCATGTTGTCTCTTCTAGACTTATTGTGATGACTAGAACATGATCAACGTATCGTTTGTAAAGTTGTGAACGTTCGAGGATTTTGCTCGCCTTTTCCTCAAGATGAGCCAAAAACATATGTGCCAGAATGGGGCTCAATGGAGTTCCGATTGCGACACCGTCAATTTGTCTGTAAGCCCAACCAAGGAAGGAGAACGATACGTTTGTTGTGCACAGTAGTAATTGTCGTACCAGAACTGATACTGGTATACCGATTTTCAGTTCGTTTTGCTCCACATGATCACACATGATACGTATGACCTCCCGACCGGGAACATTCGTAAACAGTGATTGGAAATCAAATGAAGCCATGTGCTTCCCTTTCACATTGATCTGGTCCAAAAGCTTTACCACTTCGAAACTGTCTTTTTTATAGTGTGTCTGACCATTGATTTATGAACTGGCTCAAGCAATTTCTCCAGCCATTTGGCCAATTCGTGTTGTGGTGAATTTGTCATAGATAGTAGTAGTATTGGTCCAAGTGGCACTCCGGGTTTGTTTAGTTTCGGTAAACCATACAGTTGTGCACTTCGAGTTCCTTTTGGCTTCAGATGGTGAGCTGTGCTTTCATCGATGAAGTGTCCTTCTAGTAGAAACTGTACTGCTGTCGATATCTGTTGTTCTAGTTCTTTAGGGTCTTCACAGTCATTTTCGAGTACAAACTTGCTGGGATCATGAAGAACACTTTCCATCTTCTTCTCATAATCATTCCGATCGATCAGCACTGCTCCGGACCCCTTGTTAGGGCGTAAAACTAACAAATCAGGTCACAACTGTAGCTCTTCAATGGCGGATGTGAATGTGCTCAGGCGTGAAGAGTGACTTATGTTTGGACGATGTCATCCGGTACTGTCGTTCCAAGTCAACCAGCTTTGCTTTGAACCAAGTCTCCGCATCTTTTGAAGTTCGTTTGACTAATTGTAGTTGTTCGAATAGATATTCAAATTGCGCCTGTGTCTTTATGCTGGTCATTTTACTCGGTCGTATGCAGAAACGTAGACCACACGAAAGAGCCTGTAGTTGAAGTTCATTCGTTTAACCGGAGACAAATTCTTCACAAACCTTTCTGGTTGTTTCGGAAAATTTGGTTCGACTAACTTGTGGACGATGGAATTCTGAAGCTTGTTGAATGTACAAAGTTTGGCTTCTCGTATGTTTTCCATGCACAAGTTGGTAAATTTGATTCGGCTAACGAGGCTCAGTTCGTCAAGAATTATTGATCATTCGATGCACGTGGTCTGAAGTGTCGTTAGATTTTCTTTATAATCATCAATCTGACATCGCATCAAACGTCTCAAATTCCTGGTAGAGGCACAGATTTTATTCCTCCGTAAGCGTTTGCAAAACGTAATCGGATATCTGTTGCAACGGGCACGTTGTTCCAGAAAATGAATACGGACTCGAGTTGTGGCAATTTCACATCTCAATCTGACTAGGTCATCGAGAGACCTAATGGTTGATTTCGGGAGACGAGATCTGAGGAAATTTAAACATGCTTTTCCCGAAATAGTCTTGAAAAGAAAAGCCACAGTTGCAACATTGCACGATTCGTGTCCGGGACGATTTCGCTGCATCTGAACATGGTGCACACTGCACAACCATACTGTTTATATAAGTTCATGTAAAACCATAATTTTCGACAAATATAGGGGAAATTTCAATAGTCAAGTTACGTCACCATGATAAAGACACATGAACAAAGAGCTGTTTGTGCTGACACAATATTAGGTTTCCATGACTGTATGGCAATGGTTTGAACAAACCTCAAAAGCCTCGTATTCTTTGCCACGTAAATGACCCGAAACGCAGTGCTTCGGTCAGCTGGATGTTGCGTCATCAGAAGATGACGAGCGACGGCCGACGGCCGACGGCCGACAGCCGACGACGGGATCTTATGGTTTCGAACGTTGTCATTATGCCTTTGATCTGACCCTGATTGCATCACAAAACGTTGTACCCAATTTGGAATATATTCAATCACTCGGTTACGTAACTGGCGCTCTGTTCGACCCACGTACGTTGCTCCGCAACTACACTGAAATTGGTAAATCAGATTCGATTTGGTGTACAGAGGTGGACGTTGTTTCACCGAGGGTGTGGGGATCTCAATTGTTCGATGAATAATTCTGAGGTCAGGTGCATAATATTTGTTTTGGGCAAGCGCTGATCCAAGTGGTCGTTTGAGCAAGCAATTGATGTCATCACGTATGAATGGAAGACAAAGGGTGACTAGTAGTTTTTCTGCTGAACAATTCGTTTGTCTGATCAATTTAGTCTTGCTGTGTATTTCGATAAACGCATCGGGATAAGCGTTTCTAGTCAAAGATTCCTTCAGCTGTCGTAGTTCGTTGTCAATCATGTCTTATGTGCAGATATGTCGTGCTGTTTGAAATAGTGTTCGGACCAGACCACGTTCATATTCCACAGACACAAAGCTGTCAAATTGCAAGCATTGGCCTGTCCAAGTTTCTTTTCGGTAAACAGATCTGGCCATTGTTCCATCATTATTCCTAGTCATTTTAATGTCGAGGAAGTGCAGTGTATCTTCGATTTCTGTTTCCATCGTAAATCGTATATTCGGATGCAGGCGATCGAGTTCATCCATAATCCATGTTGTCTCTTCTAGACTTATTGTGATGACTAGAACATGATCAACGTATCGTTTGTAAAGTTGTGAACGTTCGAGGATTTTGCTCGCCTTTTCCTCAAGATGAGCCAAAAACAGATGTGCCAGAATGGGGCTCAATGGAGTTCCGATTGCGACACCGTCAATTTGTCTGTAAGCCCAACCAAGGAAGGAGAACGATACGTTTGTTGTGCACAGTAGTAATTGTCGTACCAGAACTGATACTGGTATACCGATTTTCAGTTCGTTTTGCTCCACATGATCACACATGATACGTATGACCTCCCGACCGGGAACATTCGTAAACAGTGATTGGAAATCAAATGAAGCCATGTGCTTCCCTTTCACATTGATCTGGTCCAAAAGCTTTACCACTTCGAAACTGTCTTTTTTATAGTGTGTCTGACCATTGATTTATGAACTGGCTCAAGCAATTTCTCCAGCCATTTGGCCAATTCGTGTTGTGGTGAATTTGTCATAGATAGTAGTAGTATTGGTCCAAGTGGCACTCCGTGTTTGTTTAGTTTCGGTAAACCATACAGTTGTGCACTTCGAGTTCCTTTTGGCTTCAGATGGTGAGCTGTGCTTTCATCGATGAAGTGTCCTTCTAGTAGAAACTGTACTGCTGTCGATATCTGTTGTTCTAGTTCTTTAGGGTCTTCACAGTCATTTTCGAGTACAAACTTGCTGGGATCATGAAGAACACTTTCCATCTTCTTCTCATAATCATTCCGATCGATCAGCACTGCTCCGGACCCCTTGTTAGGGCGTAAAACTAACAAATCAGGTCACAACTGTAGCTCTTCAATGGCGGATGTGAATGTGCTCAGGCGTGAAGAGTGACTTATGTTTGGACGATGTCATCCGGTACTGTCGTTCCAAGTCAACCAGCTTTGCTTTGAACCAAGTCTCCGCATCTTTTGAAGTTCGTTTGACTAATTGTAGTTGTTCGAATAGATATTCGAATTGCGCCTGTGTCTTTATGCTGGTCATTTTACTCGGTCGTATGCAGAAACGTAGACCACACGAAAGAGCCTGTAGTTGAAGTTCATTCGTTTAACCGGAGACAAATTCTTCACAAACCTTTCTGGTTGTTTCGGAAAATTTGGTTCGACTAACTTGTGGACGATGGAATTCTGAAGCTTGTTGAATGTACAAAGTTTGGCTTCTCGTATGTTTTCCATGCACAAGTTGGTAAATTTGATTCGGCTAACGAGGCTCAGTTCGTCAAGAATTATTGATCATTCGATGCACGTGGTCTGAAGTGTCGTTAGATTTTCTTTATAATCATCAATCTGACATCGCATCAAACGTCTCAAATTCCTGGTAGAGGCACAGATTTTATTCCTCCGTAAGCGTTTGCAAAACGTAATCGGATATCTGTTGCAACGGGCACGTTGTTCCAGAAAATGAATACGGACTCGAGTTGTGGCAATTTCACATCTCAATCTGACTAGGTCATCGAGAGACCTAATGGTTGATTTCGGGAGACGAGATCTGAGGAAATTTAAACATGCTTTTCCCGAAATAGTCTTGAAAAGAAAAGCCACAGTTGCAACATTGCACGATTCGTGTCCGGGACGATTTCGCTGCATCTGAACATGGTGCACACTGCACAACCATACTGTTTATATAAGTTCATGTAAAACCATAATTTTCGACAAATATAGGGGAAATTTCAATAGTCAAGTTACGTCACCATGATAAAGACACATGAACAAAGAGCTGTTTGTGCTAACACAATATTAGGTTTCCATGAATGTATGGCAATGGTTTGAACAAACCTCAAAAGCCTGGTATTCTTTGCCACGTAAATGACCCGAAACGCAGTGCTTCGGTCAGCTGGATGTTGCGTCATCAGAAGATGACGAGCGACGGCCGACGGCCGACGGCCGACAGCCGACGACGGGATCTTATGGTTTCGAACGTTGTCATTATGCCTTTGATCTGACCCTGATTGCATCACAAAACGTTGTACCCAATTTGGAATATATTCAATCACTCGGTTACGTAACTGGCGCTCTGTTCGACCCACGTACGTTGCTCCGCAACTACACTGAAATTGGTTAATCAGATTCGATTTGGTGTACAGAGGTGGACGTTGTTTCACCGAGGGTGTGGGGATCTCAATCGTTCGATGAATAATTCTGAGGTCAGGTGCATAATATTTGTTTTGGGCAAGCGCTGATCCAAGTGGTCGTTTGAGCAAGCAATTGATGTCATCACGTATGAATGGAAGACAAATGGTGACTAGTAGTTTTTCTGCTGAACAATTCGTTTGTCTGATCAATTTAGGCTTGCTGTGCTTTTCGATAAACGCATCGGGATAAGCGTTTCTAGTCAAAGATTCTTTCAGCTGTCGTAGTTCGTTGTCAATCATGTCTTCTGTGCAGATATGTCGTGCTGTTTGAAATAGTGTTCGGACCAGACCACGTTCATATTCCACAGACACAAAGCTGTCAAATTGCAAGCATTGGCCTGTCCAAGTTTCTTTTCGGTAAACAGATCTGGCCATTGTTCCATCATTATTCCTAGTCATTTTAATGTCGAGGAAGTGCAGTGTATCTTCGATTTATGTTTCCATCGTAAATCGTATATTCGGATGCAGGCGATCGAGTTCATCCATAATCCATGTTGTCTCTTCTAGACTTATTGTGATGACTAGAACATGATCAACGTATCGTTTGTAAAGTTGTGAACGTTCGAGGATTTTGCTCGCCTTTTCCTCAAGATGAGCCAAAAACATATGTGCCAGAATGGGGCTCAATGGAGTTCCGATTGCGACACCGTCAATTTGTCTGTAAGCCCAACCAAGGAAGGAGAACGATACGTTTGTTGTGCACAGTAGTAATTGTCGTACCAGAACTGATACTGGTATACCGATTTTCAGTTCGTTTTGCTCCACATGATCACACATGATACGTATGACCTCCCGACCGGGAACATTCGTAAACAGTGATTGGAAATCAATGAAGCCATGTGCTTCCCTTTCACATTGATCTGGTCCAAAAGCTTTACCACTTCGAAACTGTCTTCTTTATAGTGTGTCTGACCATTGATTTATGAACTGGCTCAAGCAATTTCTCCAGCCATTTGGCCAATTCGTGTTGTGGTGAATTTGTCATAGATAGTAGTAGTATTGGTCCAAGTGGCACTCCGGGTTTGTTTAGTTTCGGTAAACCATACAGTTGTGCACTTCGAGTTCCTTTTGGCTTCAGATGGTGAGCTGTGCTTTCATCGATGAAGTGTCCTTCTAGTAGAAACTGTACTGCTGTCGATATCTGTTGTTCTAGTTCTTTAGGGTCTTCACAGTCATTTTCGAGTACAAACTTGCTGGGATCATGAAGAACACTTTCCATCTTCTTCTCATAATCATTCCGATCGATCAGCACTGCTCCGGACCCCTTGTTAGGGCGTAAAACTAACAAATCAGGTCACAACTGTAGCTCTTCAATGGCGGATGTGAATGTGCTCAGGCGTGAAGAGTGACTTATGTTTGGACGATGTCATCCGGTACTGTCGTTCCAAGTCAACCAGCTTTGCTTTGAACCAAGTCTCCGCATCTTTTGAAGTTCGTTTGACTAATTGTAGTTGTTCGAATAGATATTCGAATTGCGCCTGTGTCTTTATGCTGGTCATTTTACTCGGTGGTATGCAGAAACGTAGACCACACGAAAGAGCCTGTAGTTGAAGTTCATTCGTTTAACCGGAGACAAATTCTTCACAAACCTTTCTGGTTGTTTCGGAAAATTTGGTTCGACTAACTTGTGGACGATGGAATTCTGAAGCTTGTTGAATGTACAAAGTTTGGCTTCTCGTATGTTTTCCATGCACAAGTTGGTAAATTTGATTCGGCTAACGAGGCTCAGTTCGTCAAGAATTATTGATCATTCGATGCACGTGGTCTGAAGTGTCGTTAGATTTTCTTTATAATCATCAATCTGACATCGCATCAAACGTCTCAAATTCCTGGTAGAGGCACAGATTTTATTCCTCCGTAAGCGTTTGCAAAACGTAATCGGATATCTGTTGCAACGGGCACGTTGTTCCAGAAAATGAATACGGACTCGAGTTGTGGCAATTTCACATCTCAATCTGACTAGGTCATCGAGAGACCTAATGGTTGATTTCGGGAGACGAGATCTGAGGAAATTTAAACATGCTTTTCCCGAAATAGTCTTGAAAAGAAAAGCCACAGTTGCAACATTGCACGATTCGTGTCCGGGACGATTTCGCTGCATCTGAACATGGTGCACACTGCACAACCATACTGTTTATATAAGTTCATGTAAAACCATAATTTTCGACAAATATAGGGGAAATTTCAATAGTCAAGTTACGTCACCATGATAAAGACACATGAACAAAGAGCTGTTTGTGCTGACACAATATTAGGTTTCCATGACTGTATGGCAATGGTTTGAACAAACCTCAAAAGCCTCGTATTCTTTGCCACGTAAATGACCCGAAACGCAGTGCTTCGGTCAGCTGGATGTTGCGTCATCAGAAGATGACGAGCGACGGCCGACGGCCGACGGCCGACAGCCGACGACGGGATCTTATGGTTTCGAACGTTGTCATTATGCCTTTGATCTGACCCTGATTGCATCACAAAACGTTGTACCCAATTTGGAATATATTCAATCACTCGGTTACGTAACTGGCGCTCTGTTCGACCCACGTAGGTTGCTCCGCAACTACACTGAAATTGATAAATCAGATTCGATTTGGTGTACAGAGGTGGACGTTGTTTCACCGAGGGTGTGGGGATCTCAATCGTTCGATGAATAATTCTGAGGTCAGGCGCATAATATTTGTTTTGGGCAAGCGCTGATCCAAGTGGTCGTTTGAGCAAGCAATTGATGTGATCACGTTTGAATGGAAGACGAAGGGTGACTAGTAGTTTTTCTGCTGAACAATTCGTTTGTCTGATCAATTTAGGCTTGCTGTGCTTTTCGATAAACGCATCGGGATAAGCGTTTCTAGTCAAAGATTCTTTCAGCTGTCGTAGTTCGTTGTCAATCATGTCTTATGTGCAGATATGTCGTGCTGTTTGAAATAGTGTTCGGACCAGACCACGTTCATATTCCACAGACACAAAGCTGTCAAATTGCAAGCATTGGCCTGTCCAAGTTTCTTTTCGGTAAACAGATCTGGCCATTGTTCCATCATTATTCCTAGTCATTTTAATGTCGAGGAAGTGCAGTGTATCTTCGATTTCTGTTTCCATCGTAAATCGTATATTCGGATGCAGGCGATCGAGTTTATCCATAATCCATGTTGTCTCTTCTAGACTTATTGTGATGACTAGAACATGATCAACGTATCGTTTGTAAAGTTGTGAACGTTCGAGGATTTTGCTCGCCTTTTCCTCAAGATGAGCCAAAAACATATGTGCCAGAATGGGGCTCAATGGAGTTCCGATTGCGACACCGTCAATTTGTCTGTAAGCCCAACCAAGGAAGGAGAACGATACGTTTGTTGTGCACAGTAGTAATTGTCGTACCAGAACTGATACTGGTATACCGATTTTCAGTTCGTTTTGCTCCACATGATCACACATGATACGTATGACCTCCCGACCGGGAACATTCGTAAACAGTGATTGGAAATCAATGAAGCCATGTGCTTCCCTTTCACATTGATCTGGTCCAAAAGCTTTACCACTTCGAAACTGTCTTCTTTATAGTGTGTCTGACCATTGATTTATGAACTGGCTCAAGCAATTTCTCCAGCCATTTGGCCAATTCGTGTTGTGGTGAATTTGTCATAGATAGTAGTAGTATTGGTCCAAGTGGCACTCCGGGTTTGTTTAGTTTCGGTAAACCATACAGTTGTGCACTTCGAGTTCCTTTTAGCTTCAGATGGTGAGCTGTGCTTTCATCGATGAAATGTCCTTCTAGTAGAAACTGTACTGCTGTCGATATCTGTTGTTCTAGTTCTTTAGGGTCTTCACAGTCATTTTCGAGTACAAACTTGCTGGGATCATGAAGAACACTTTCCATCTTCTTCTCATAATCATTCCGATCGATCAGCACTGCTCCGGACCCCTTGTTAGGGCGTAAAACTAACAAATCAGGTCACAACTGTAGCTCTTCAATGGCGGATGTGAATGTGCTCAGGCGTGAAGAGTGACTTATGTTTGGACGATGTCATCCGGTACTGTCGTTCCAAGTCAACCAGCTTTGCTTTGAACCAAGTCTCCGCATCTTTTGAAGTTCGTTTGACTAATTGTAGTTGTTCGAATAGATATTCAAATTGCGCCTGTGTCTTTATGCTGGTCATTTTACTCGGTCGTATGCAGAAACGTAGACCACACGAAAGAGCCTGTAGTTGAAGTTCATTCGTTTAACCGGAGACAAATTCTTCACAAACCTTTCTGGTTGTTTCGGAAAATTTGGTTCGACTAACTTGTGGACGATGGAATTCTGAAGCTTGTTGAATGTACAAAGTTTGGCTTCTCGTATGTTTTCCATGCACAAGTTGGTAAATTTGATTCGGCTAACGAGGCTCAGTTCGTCAAGAATTATTGATCATTCGATGCACGTGGTCTGAAGTGTCGTTAGATTTTCTTTATAATCATCAATCTGACATCGCATCAAACGTCTCAAATTCCTGGTAGAGGCACAGATTTTATTCCTCCGTAAGCGTTTGCAAAACGTAATCGGATATCTGTTGCAACGGGCACGTTGTTCCAGAAAATGAATACGGACTCGAGTTGTGGCAATTTCACATCTCAATCTGACTAGGTCATCGAGAGACCTAATGGTTGATTTCGGGAGACGACATCTGAGGAAATTTAAACATGCTTTTCCCGAAATAGTCTTGAAAAGAAAAGCCACAGTTGCAACATTGCACGATTCGTGTCCGGGACGATTTCGCTGCATCTGAACATGGTGCACACTGCACAACCATACTGTTTATATAAGTTCATGTAAAACCATAATTTTCGACAAATATAGGGGAAATTTCAATAGTCAAGTTACGTCACCATGATAAAGACACATGAACAAAGAGCTGTTTGTGCTGACACATTATTAGGTTTCCATGAATGTATGGCAATGGTTTGAACAAACCTCAAAAGCCTCGTATTCTTTGCCACGTAAATGACCCGAAACGCAGTGCTTCGGTCAGCTGGATGTTGCGTCATCAGAAGATGACGAGCGACGGCCGACGGCCGACGGCCGACAGCCGACGACGGGATCTTATGGTTTCGAACGTTGTCATTATGCCTTTGATCTGACCCTGATTGCATCACAAAACGTTGTACCCAATTTGGAATATATTCAATCACTCGGTTACGTAACTGGCGCTCTGTTCGACCCACGTACGTTGCTCCGCAACTACACTGAAATTGGTTAATCAGATTCGATTTGGTGTACAGAGGTGGACGTTGTTTCACCGAGGGTGTGGGGATCTCAATCGTTCGATGAATAATTCTGAGGTCAGGTGCATAATATTTGTTTTGGGCAAGCGCTGATCCAAGTGGTCGTTTGAGCAAGCAATTGATGTCATCACGTTTGAATGGAAGACGAAGGGTGACTAGTAGTTTTTCTGCTGAACAATTTGTTTGTCTGATCAATTTAGGCTTGCTGTGCTTTTCGATAAACGCATCGGGATAAGCGTTTCTAGTCAAAGATTCTTTCAGCTGTCGTAGTTCGTTGTCAATCATGTCTTATGTGCAGATATGTCGTGCTGTTTGAAATAGTGTTCGGACCAGACCACGTTCATATTCCACAGACACAAAGCTGTCAAATTGCAAGCATTGGCCTGTCCAAGTTTCTTTTCGGTAAACAGATCTGGCCATTGTTCCATCATTATTCCTAGTCATTTTAATGTCGAGGAAGTGCAGTGTATCTTCGATTTATGTTTCCATCGTAAATCGTATATTCGGATGCAGGCGATCGAGTTCATCCATAATCCATGTTGTCTCTTCTAGACTTATTGTGATGACTAGAACATGATCAACGTATCGTTTGTAAAGTTGTGAACGTTCGAGGATTTTGCTCGCCTTTTCCTCAAGATGAGCCAAAAACATATGTGCCAGAATGGGGCTCAATAGAGTTCCGATTGCGACACCGTCAATTTGTCTGTAAGCCCAACCAAGGAAGGAGAACGATACGTTTGTTGTGCACAGTAGTAATTGTCGTACCAGAACTGATACTGGTATACCGATTTTCAGTTCGTTTTGCTCCACATGATCACACATGATACGTATGACCTCCCGACCGGGAACATTCGTAAACAGTGATTGGAAATCAATGAAGCCATGTGCTTCCCTTTCACATTGATCTGGTCCAAAAGCTTTACCACTTCGAAACTGTCTTTTTTATAGTGTGTCTGACCATTGATTTATGAACTGGCTCAAGCAATTTCTCCAGCCATTTGGCCAATTCGTGTTGTGGTGAATTTGTCATAGATAGTAGTAGTATTGGTCCAAGTGGCACTCCGGGTTTGTTTAGTTTCGGTAAACCATACAGTTGTGCACTTCGAGTTCCTTTTAGCTTCAGATGGTGAGCTGTGCTTTCATCGATGAAGTGTCCTTCTAGTAGAAACTGTACTGCTGTCGATATCTGTTGTTCTAGTTCTTTAGGGTCTTCACAGTCATTTTCGAGTACAAACTTGCTGGGATCATGAAGAACACTTTCCATCTTCTTCTCATAATCATTCCGATCGATCAGCACTGCTCCGGACCCCTTGTTAGGGCGTAAAACTAACAAATCAGGTCACAACTGTAGCTCTTCAATGGCGGATGTGAATGTGCTCAGGCGTGAAGAGTGACTTATGTTTGGACGATGTCATCCGGTACTGTCGTTCCAAGTCAACCAGCTTTGCTTTGAACCAAGTCTCCGCATCTTTTGAAGTTCGTTTGACTAATTGTAGTTGTTCGAATAGATATTCAAATTGCGCCTGTGTCTTTATGCTGGTCATTTTACTCGGTCGTATGCAGAAACGTAGACCACACGAAAGAGCCTGTAGTTGAAGTTCATTCGTTTAACCGGAGACAAATTCTTCACAAACCTTTCTGGTTGTTTCGGAAAATTTGGTTCGACTAACTTGTGGACGATGGAATTCTGAAGCTTGTTGAATGTACAAAGTTTGGCTTCTCGTATGTTTTCCATGCACAAGTTGGTAAATTTGATTCGGCTAACGAGGCTCAGTTCGTCAAGAATTATTGATCATTCGATGCACGTGGTCTGAAGTGTCGTTAGATTTTCTTTATAATCATCAATCTGACATCGCATCAAACGTCTCAAATTCCTGGTAGAGGCACAGATTTTATTCCTCCGTAAGCGTTTGCAAAACGTAATCGGATATCTGTTGCAACGGGCACGTTGTTCCAGAAAATGAATACGGACTCGAGTTGTGGCAATTTCACATCTCAATCTGACTAGGTCATCGAGAGACCTAATGGTTGATTTCGGGAGACGAGATCTGAGGAAATTTAAACATGCTTTTCCCGAAATAGTCTTGAAAAGAAAAGCCACAGTTGCAACATTGCACGATTCGTGTCCGGGACGATTTCGCTGCATCTGAACATGGTGCACACTGTACAACCATACTGTTTATATAAGTTCATGTAAAACCATAATTTTCGACAAATATAGGGGAAATTTCAATAGTCAAGTTACGTCACCATGATAAAGACACATGAACAAAGAGCTGTTTGTGCTGACACATTATTAGGTTTCCATGAATGTATGGCAATGGTTTGAACAAACCTCAAAAGCCTCGTATTCTTTGCCACGTAAATGACCCGAAACGCAGTGGTTCGGTCAGCTGGATGTTGCGTCATCAGAAGATGACGAGCGACGGCCGACGGCCGACGGCCGACAGCCGACGACGGGATCTTATGGTTTCGAACGTTGTCATTATGCCTTTGATCTGACCCTGATTGCATCACAAAACGTTGTACCCAATTTGGAATATATTCAATCACTCGGTTACGTAACTGGCGCTCTGTTCGACCCACGTACGTTGCTCCGCAACTACACTGAAATTGGTTAATCAGATTCGATTTGGTGTACAGAGGTGGACGTTGTTTCACCGAGGGTGTGGGGATCTCAATCGTTCGATGAATAATTCTGAGGTCAGGTGCATAATATTTGTTTTGGGCAAGCGCTGATCCAAGTGGTCGTTTGAGCAAGCAATTGATGTGATCACGTTTGAATGGAAGACAAAGGGTGAGTAGTAGTTTTTCTGCTGAACAATTTGTTTGTCTGATCAATTTAGGCTTGCTGTGCTTTTCGATAAACGCATCGGGATAAGCGTTTCTAGTCAAAGATTCTTTCAGCTATCGTAGTTCGTTGTCAATCATGTATTCTGTGCAGATATATCGTGCTGTTTGAAATAGTGTTCGAACCAGACCACGTTCATATTCGACAGACACTAAGCTTGTGCCTATGCGTTTCTCAGGCCGTGACTATCCTCTGGACAAAGAATCATCGTGCCCGTAGGACGCCGTTTAAGCCCAGTTTCGATCAATTCACCTATTTGCGCTAGTCCTATTGGAATTTCTCTTGTGCCAATGTGTTTCTCAGGCCGTGACTATCCTCTGGACAAAGAATCATCGTGCCCGTAGGACGCCGTTTGAGCCCAGTTTCGATCAATTCACCTATTTGCGCTAGTCCTATTGGAATTTCTCTTGTGCCAATGTGTTTCTCAGGCCGTGACTATCCTCTGGACAAAGAATCAGCGTGCCCGTAGGACGCCATTTAAGCCCAGTTTGATCAATTCACCCATTTCTGCTAGTCCTACTGGAATTTCTCTTGTGCCAATGTGTTTCTCAGGCCGTGACTATCCTCTGGACAAAGAATCATCGTGCCCGTAGGACGCCGTTTAGGCCCAGTTTCGATCAATCCACCTATTTGCGCTAGTCCTATTGGAATTTCTCTTGTGCCAATGTGTTTCTCAGGCCGTGACTATCCTCTGGACAAAGAATCACCGTGCCCGTAGGACGCCGTTTGAGCCCAGTTTCGATCAATTCACCTATTTGCGCTAGTCCTATTGGAATTTCTCCTGTGCCAATGTGTTTCTCAGGCCGTGACTATCCTCTGGACAAAGAATGATCGTGCCCGCAGGACGCCGTTTAAGCCCAGTTTCGATCAATTCACCTATTTGCGCTAGTCCTATTGGAATTTCTCTTGTGCCAATGTGTTTCTCAGGCCGTGACTATCCTCTGGACAAAGAATGATCGTGCCCGCAGGACGCCGTTTAGGCCCAGTTTCGATCAATTCACCTATTTGCGCTAGTCCTATTGGAATTTCTCTTGTGCCAATGTGTTTCTCAGGCCGTGACTATCCTCTGGACAAAGAATCATCGTGCCCGTAGGACGCCGTTTAAGCCCAGTTTCGATCAATTCACCTATTTGCGCTAGTCCTATTGGAATTTCTCTTGTGCCAGTGTGTTTCTCAGGCCGTGACTATCCTCTGGACAAAGAATCATCGTGCCCGTAGGACGCCGTTTAAGCCCAGCTTCGATCAATTCACCTATTTGCGCTAGTCCTATTGGAATTTCTCTTGTGCCAATGTGTTTCTCAGGCCGTGACTATCCTCTGGACAAAGAATCATCGTGCCCGTAGGACGCCGTTTAAGCCCAGTTTTGATCAATTCACCTATGTGCGCTAGTCCTATTGGAATTTCTCTTGTGCCAATGTGTTTCTCAGGCCGTGACTATCCTCTGGACAAAGAATCATCGTGCCCGTAGGACGCCGTTTGAGCCCAGTTTCGATCAATTCACCTATTTGCGCTAGTCCTATTGGAATTTCTCTTGTGCCAATGTGTTTCTCAGGCCGTGACTATCCTCTGGACAAAGAATCGTCGTGCCCGTAGGACGCCGTTTGAGCCCAGTTTCGATCAATTCACCTATGTGCGCTAGTCCTATTGAAATTTCTCTTGTGCCAATGCGTTTCTCAGGCCGTGACTATCCTCTGGACAAAGAATCATCGTGCCCGTGGGACGCCGTTTAAGCCCAGTTTCGATCAATTCACCTATTTGCGCTAGTCCTTTTGGAATATCTACTTTGCCAATGTGTTTCTCAGGCCGTGACTATCCTCTGGACAAAGAATCATCGTGCCCGTAGGACGCCGTTTAAGCCCAGTTTCGATCAATTCACCTATGTGCGCTAGTCCTATTGGAATTTCTCTTGTGCCAATGTGTTTCTCAGGCCGTGACTATCCTCTGGACAAAGAATCATCGTGCCCGTAGGACGCCGTTTAAGCCCATTTTCGATCAAATCACCTATTTGCGCTAGTCCTATTGGAATTTCTCTTGTGCCAATGTGTTTCTCAGGCCGTGACTATCCTCTGGACAAAGAATCATCGTGCCCGTGGGACGCCGTTTAAGCCCAGTTTCGATCAATTCACCCATTTGCGCTAGTCCTATTGGAATTTCTCGTGCGCCAATGCGTTTCTCAGGCCGTGACTATCCTCTGGACAAAGAATCATCGTGCCCGTAGGACGCCGTTTAAGCCCAGTTTCGATCAATTCACCCATTTCGGTTGGTCCTACTGGAATTTCTCCTGTGCCAATGTGTTTCTCAGGCCGTGACTATCCTCTGGACAAAGAATCATCGTGCCCGTAGGACGCCGTTTGAGCCCAGTTTCGATCAATTCACCTATTTGCGCTAGTCCTATTGGAATTTCTCTTGTGCCAATGTGTTTCTCAGGCCGTGACTATCCTCTGGACAAAGAATGATCGTGCCCGTAGGACGCCGTTTGAGCCCAGTTTCGATCAATTCACCTATGTGCGCTAGTCCTATTGAAATTTCTCTTGTGCCAATGTGTTTCTCAGGCCGTGACTATCCTCTGGACAAAGAATGATCGTGCCCGTAGGACGCCATTTAAGCCCAGTTTCGATCAATTCACCTATTTGCGCTAGTCCTATTGGAATTTCTCTTGTGCCAATGTGTTTCTCAGGCCGTGACTATCCTCTGGACAAAGAATCATCGTGCCCGTAGGACGCCGTTTAAGCCCAGCTTCGATCAATTCACCTATTTGCGCTAGTCCTATTGGAATTTCTCTTGTGCCAATGTGTTTCTCAGGCCGTGACTATCCTCTGGACAAAGAATCATCGTGCCCGTAGGACGCCGTTTAAGCCCAGTTTCGATCAATTCACCTATTTGCGCTAGTCCTATTGGAATTTCTCTTGTGCCAATGTGTTTCTCAGGCCGTGACTATCCTCTGGACAAAGAATGATCGTGCCCGTAGGAC